TTTGCGGAAACTGCATAAATCGACGATTTGAGCCGAGATCAGTGAGGAGACAGGTGAGGTAAGTTGGAATCACTTGCGAATCATTTGCGAAGCGGTTGCGAAGCAGCTGCGAAACAGTTGGAAGAAAGGCAGTCCTTGAGAGCTTTGAATAGCTTCAAGAACTGGGGGGGTGTGTCAAGTACTATGCATTTATGCATGCTGAAATTACCAGGTCTTTACAAACCGGAAAATCAATGGACCGTCATGATAACGGTACCATACAAAAATACATACATTGCTTAATCAGCTATGTCCGCCGAGATTGGAAAAGAGCGGATCTTGTCATTTTAGTTAGTTAGAGAATTTACATATGTCAGATTTACCATACATTGTCGTATCCGTCTATTTCTGTCAATAAGTCTAGACAGGGGGATATTGTAGGTGGTGCTGAGAAAAGAACAAGAATGACTGATAAGGGAGTAAGTAGTCTTCCGCTCGACCCAGTAAAACCCAGACCCAACCCAGACTGGGTTGGGTTTTGGGTCTGGGGCCCCAAACTGAGTAACAAATTATACAAACATGCTAATTATGTACATAATTTAGCTGATTTAGCTGGTTTATGACCGCCAAGACCTCCTGTTATGCAAAAACTGGGTCGAACTGGGTCGAACTGGGCTTAAACTGGGGCTCTGGGTCGAGACTTTTAACTCAAAATGGGTCATCCGGAAGTCGTAAGGGACACACAGGAATCGTGTAGTGCGAAGAAACTCCACGGATAAAGTTGGGCAGCCAAGGCAACAAACAACCTTGGAAGTGGGTCTTGTGTTCTGAGCCTCAGGCATTAACATTCCCTTTTCGGCTAGCGGCCGTCCGAAGTATAACTACCCCCAATGCTATTGTTTCGAGTTTCAAGTCTTTTTTATTAGATATGGGAGGTTAGCTATGTGTGTGTGTGTATATATGTATGTATATGGGATTTATTTATGTGTTATTGATCGAGGGGAGAAAGGGTTTGGAGGAGGAGTAGAAAAAAATCAAATAAGGAGGACCAGGAGATGATGTGATAGGAAAAACTGCTTCCCCTGAGAAAGAAGAAAATCAAAAGGACAAGAGAGAACTGTGTAAATCATCAATAGGAATAAGACGAGAAAGGGGAAAGGAAAATAATGGGGTTGGCGAAGATGAGAAGGAAGGAAAGGGAAGGAGGGAATAGGGTCAAAATGGTTGGAATTGAATTGGGGGGAAGAAGAGACGTGGATAATTTCAAAAGCGCCGTTGTGAGAATAAAGAGGAAGATCCAAGAAGGATCGGATAATCGAGGAAGGGTCAGGAAGTTGGGAATAGGTCCAACCATGAACCGTAGGAGTGGGTGAGATGCGAGTTACCTCAGAGAGGCAGGTGGGGATAACCTCATAAACGGAGTGGTGATTTCAAGGGAATACGGGGAAAGGATCAATATATAAATTCACAGTGTAGCAAGGAATAGCTTCAGAAGGTATCTGGAAAAAGTGGATCTCGGGACTCTGAATAGCTTCATGATCACCTAATTGAGACACATGGAATCTAGCCAATCAGATCACTAGAAAGAGCCAAAAAGGGGTGTTACCATGAAGATCCTGAACCGGTTTTCAACTCCAAGCCCCACTTAGCTCGGTGGAAACAAGCATCCGTTGGTGTCAGACTGGAAAACGGTTACTAGGCGAGACACCTTCCGATTGACTGGGAGAGCAGAGCGTGTGTGTTCGAGCCAAGGGCGAGATCTCTCTGAACATAGCATTCCTAACAGGCGTTTGGCCCGCCTGGCCCGAGGGGGTAGGAGCGATTGAGGTTCGCTAACAACACACCGTAAATATCTGCTTCCCAGCCGGTGAAGACGGGTTTGAGCTATCCCTTCGGGGCCCTCGCCTGTGATACAAACGGGGTTAGGCCAATACGTTTTTTTTAAAAAAAATCTTCTTTTGAAGAAAGAAAAAGAAATTAAGATGTATTGATTCTGTCGAATCTTCAAAGTCGGAAGGTGAACTACCGTCCACCGAAGCTGTATACTGAATTTTGTAGAAATTCGAAACGTCACTCAACTCATACATGCAAAAATAGCATTTATATCAAATAAAAAATGAGAAACCAACTTCCAAGTTGTCGTTAATATGGATGATGTGGACCCACAGGCCCGCTTCCCCAGATTTGGTTTATTTCCCCAGAAAGTTCCCGAGGCCCGATCCCTTGCCTATTCTTCTTCACATCATCCCGATCCTTCGCCTTGAGAGCTTCATGCAAGAGAAAGCATTGCGCGCCCTCTGTTAATCATTGAGCTATGAGGTATAAAGCTTCGATGATTTCGATGACCTATTGGGAACCGTGACAGCAAGAAGGAAAGCAATTCTCTCAACTCGATAATTCCAGCAATCTCCAATATGCTCAATAAGTAACTATTCCTCCTCTGGCCAGCTGCCTTTATGGTCTCACTCATAATAGATGATCTATTCAATATGATCAACCCCATATTTTGGAAATTGGACGATGCGCTGGTTGCAAACTACAGCATTGCCTTTAGCTCGGTGCAGCCAGGAGTCAGTACGTGCATCTCTCTTCATGCTCAATGACGCAGTACTAATAGCCACCAAGTCCTAGCCGTCACCATAATCGAGAACAAGAGTGTGACCGCACCCCACACATCTCCTATTCCGCCAAGACCAATGACACCAGCGCCCTCCTAATCGCCAACGGAGCCACCCTTCACAGGATCCCACATCGACATCCTGAAAACTGGCTACTTAACCAAACGGAATTGGACAAGCTTCTACGGGTTCGGTCTTGCCACCAACGTGGTATATCCTTCAATCAGAGATTAGTAAGTACGGTTTGATCTGCCGGCGCTCTGGCCTCGAAATTTTATTACCTCGCAATGGTTGAGTTGGACGCTGAGTGCGGAGATTTCATGTCGGCGAATTATTCGCAGATCACGCAGGACTATATGTTTACCGGTTCAAGATTTTCTTGCTTGGAGAATTTTCAAGAATTGTTATCTTGTGGCCATCTGGTGAGAATATTATCCCGCTCTTCTGTGCAGTAATACCTTCTCGGTAGATGTCTCGTTTCATCTATCTTTCTCAACTCTACTTCTGCCTCTCCTCCGATTGAGATTCCTACATTTTACCTTAATTACGACTTGCATTTTCTTTACCTTTGGTATCTTGATCATCTAATCTTCATTATAGCCGCGTTCAGACCCCAAACTAACCACTCCTAGTAAAATGTAGAACTCTGTCAAAATTAATTTTTAATCGTATTTTTACCTTCCACTCTTCTCTGCATTGATTTCATTTCATTCATTGATTACTTTTGGGGTTTGAGTGTACGAATAAAGGTTTTGTTGTACACTTTAGGCATGAAGCTACATGTTTGTTGACAGACTGAGCAACCTTCGGTGGTGTTTATTGTACAGGGTATTTATACCCCGATTTACTAGTTTGACAATTCAACAACTTCTTCCTTCTTCATCATCTCTCCCTATCTCGTAGTATTCTACTACAATAGATTTGCAGGATCTTTCATTGATTAACATGAATCCGTGCATAATATCCCACACGGCGTAGTGTCAACTTGGGATAATGAGTCTTTAGTACTGGGAAACGTGACATTTTTGGACCTATCACCGTATGGGATTATCTGGAGCCGACTGCCATTGATGAGGCTTTGAGTCGGTGCTCGGGGACTCCTATTCATACCACCAATGGAAGAAGACATACCAGGTCATGGGGTGGATTACAAGTGAGATATTGGCTGGTGGTGTTCAGGACACTGAAAGTATACAGGCTGGCCAGCCAGACACGTCGTCTTGACAGCTTTTTGTGGGGCTTTCATTTGACCACAGACAACCCCCGACTCTTCGATGAATGGCACAAAGTATACGTGGAAATCTCAAAAACTTGGAGATCCAAAAATTCCCGGCTTGTAAATCAACTCCTGGAGTACAATGGCTTTGATAATCGGGCAGATTGAGTTCCTGACCATGTCGGAGTTCACACGAAGACTCAGCTGTACAGTGAGAAGCAGACAGCATGGAATGGATTATCTAAGACTTTCTGGTAACTCTGGTACAAAATTATAATTATAATCAATGCTCTCATCCGGAAGTTGTCAGAGAGGGAGGTGGCGTTGTTCGCGTTATTCCTCCCCTCATGGTATAATCATATACAACCCCGACCTCCAAGGACATTATCTTGCGTGTACAACTCAAACGGAAACAAAAACCAGGAAAAGTGGGATCATCCTGCGCAATGCATGAAAGAAATCCAAAGCAAGGAAACTGAACAAAATAACTATCCAATTTTAACATGTTAAAGTTGCAGAAAGTCCGGGCCAGGTCTAGTTAGAACTAGACTTTCAAAGCTTAAACATATCAGATTTGGATAGTTGTTCTGCTTGGCTTCCTTGTTAAGTTTCCTTTGACGTACCCTACAAGCCGAGAGTCATGTCTCATGTCTTTTATCCATTCGAGTCGTATGCGCAATAGAAAATGACCTTTGGGCACAGAGCCAGAATGTGTTTAGGTGTGAGATTAGTAGATCCGAGTATCACCCTTGTTGACTCTGGGATAACACTTCTGTTAACTGTTCAGCCCAAGATAGGCAAGCGAGGAGTTTGTATCGGTTCCTTCCAACACTCTCAGGGACCTAGGGCAAGCGATATTAGAACCAATCAACACCGAAAGCAGATATAATCCATAGCGGCAAAGTACGGATTCGCAAGGCCTATGGAGTCCTTGAGATTTTTGCCGCCGTGGGTCTCTGCATAACATTGCACGACAATGGGGTCCAACGCAGCCGAATCGCCCTCGGTCCAGTGTTCCTCCCTTTTACCCGAAGATAGGTCATACACTAGGTGTGTTTCCACAAAAATTGGAACCCTCCAACTTGTGAGGCGAACCTCGAGGAGAAATTTTGAGTGTGTAAAAACAGGAGTGAGCTAAGAGCGATAAATCAACGAGTCATGAACCTGCAACTAATCCTCACTTTTTCTCACTCTTCCATGGTTGTTCCTGTAGGTAGAACGAGGATGTAGTACAGAAAAGTGTTGTTCAAGGCAAGGTTGTCGACAATAGTCTTTCACAATTGTGTATAGTGCTATAGGTCTTTTAATAATCAACATATTAGCACTTATCTCTTGACTGGTATAGTTAGTGATAACGTACCATGTCCATGGGAGTTCCAGGCCAGGTGCTAGTCGACCATCCTTGAACTCCAGCAGGGACGGAGGAAAGGCTCGAATTCCCGCTGTCTCTAGGTACCATGATTCCTTTATACAACTTTAAAAGCACACCACGTGGCTTTAGGCAAAGGCTGAACAGTGTCCCTTGGAGATGAAATATAACGGCATCAACGGCAAAATAGGAAAGGAAGGGAATGATGATGATGTGAAAGATGAAGAAATTCAAACCCAGGGAGAAGGTGTTCATATGGCGGAGGGCATCTGGGAAACCAGGCAAACATGACATTATCTTAAGTGTCGTTTTTCTTTCACATGGGCAATGTGAAACCCAGGTAAATTAGGGGTGATCTGGATCATATGTAGTTGTCCGCGGAAGTTTGGTATTCCATGGTAGCCTGCATATTCAGGGCGGCGCTGAATTATTTGAACTGTTCATCGCATCACTTATGGTTACGCCCGAAAGACGGTGACCCCAGTATTCAGTTCTCTGATTTTCAACACTAAATGCTGTACGCTCTAGATGTTGGACCAGCATGGGTTGGCGTCTTAGATTTTCAGTAAAGTTAGTGGAGACATAGTAATTTCTATTAGACAGTTTCAAAGTGCTTAGGCAAGAATCAGTAGTTGTCTACAGAATCATTTTCTCTTTATTGGGCGCGCTAGAAGAGACAATTGGCTCTACAACAAAGAATATCCACTATGCATAGGGAGCAAGAGGTTCGAATTTAATTATTTGAGCTGGAAAACTAGATAGCCGCTCTTTTGCCAGGATTACACAAAGCAATGTATCATATTTGACTACTGCAAGGTGATAAGATGACAAGGCTCTCGGTCAACGGTCAAGTCCTGAGTCTGAAGCCGGGAGACAGTGTTTTAAATGTCGCTGATGCGCGAAAATTTGGCGACTGACTGCATTATGCAATCCTTTGGCCACCGCATCGTTCGATCTTACAATGCCTCGGATAGTATAAACCATGCACCACACCCAAACTGGGAAGAAGAGCGGGGGAGTGAAGATATCTGCGGTGAAAGACGCCCAACTGGGGAGTGAGATGACGTCATGTACAACAGTATAGTAGCCCGAATGTAGAAAGGAATTTGAAATGGTCATTGATATGCTATTGAGGGTAGCTATAAAGGACTAGATCTTGTCTAGTGCACTCTCTTCCACCATTTTCCTCATAACAGATTCCTCATTAGCTGAATTCACAAGGATCCCATTGGTAGCTGCCAGCAATCCACCTTTTGCATTGTTAACCTCCAGATACTTCCAGTCCCAGCTGTATATAACATCTTGATGACGCTGCTGGTCGCTAAAAAGAAGCCCCACACTGTTGGCTACAGCCTCCGGCCCTTGGACAGCGACACCAAGATCCTCAATAAAAGGAGTAGGAACCACGCCAGTTGCGGTCCAAGAAGGCGCAACAGCATTCAGTCGTACCTTCCCCTCAAGTTGATACCCGATCCCGCGGATAAGCCCCAGAACACCATGTTTTGTGACCGTGTAATCACCAGCACTGAAGTTTTGGAACGAAGCCGTAGAAGCAGTGACCACAATACTGCCAAGTTCACCAGATGCACGATGTGCCGAGTGCTTCTGTATGTAATATGCGGCTAGACGAACCGTGAAGATAACACCGAGAAGGTTGACATTGATCGTCCGCAGATCAGGAGGGGTAAGTTGGCCATTTTCGTCAAGGTTGTCGTCCAGGAAATTAGTCGTTGGTCCGATGCCTGCATTGGCGAAGACATGGTCAATACGACCAAACCATTCTTCAACCTGAATAAAAGCATCGCGTTGATTTTCCCATGAGGAGACGTCCAGTTGTATAAATTTGAGCTTTTCTGAGATCTCGAGATCGGAGGGTAGGTGGTTTACGTCGCCGATGATTACAATGGCGCCGTGTTTCAGACACAACTCTGCAGTTGCCTTTCCGATTCCCGACGCACCGCCTGATTTTATCAACATTTCTGGCTTATTATTTGTGGCGATAGAATGTGAAACATGCATACCAGTGATGAAAATTACTTTATCCTTCATTTCCTCGAAGATATCGTCGGAGATTTGTATGGCCGCCATGGTTAAAGATATGTGGTGAATGTATCAGAAGTAAATACGTAGTAAAGCTGTGTAGTCTCTTCATTGTGGGAATAGAACTCCATATTTATAGATTTTGCTTCCACTCCTATATACGACCCCTCACCTCTCAAAAGGATGAGGGGTCATTTCGTGGAGGATCATACACGGGCCGGGGCGAGGCTTAGCTCTGTTGAATCAGGTCATCTGCCTTAAAGCCTTGATGTCTACCTAATATACCAGGCCTTCAGGCCCCCACCATTTAGTTAACTAGGTAGTTATACTACGTCCTTGACTTAGCTAATTTGCTATTTATAAGATTGAAACACCAAATTTAGAAAAGAAACAAACAAAAGCATTACGTAAAACCAGAACAGGACCAAGAGAGGCTCCCCAGTTCTTTTGGTGAGACAAATTCGCTATTCACAACAGCCGCCGATACCAGAAGTGTACGCTAAGTCCTGCAATTTTATATAAAAAGTCAGCGGATGACAATGAACAATCGATCAGCCGTTATCCCATATCAGAAAAGTACGGCGCAGTAACGGAAACTACTGTTGCTGTGCGAGTCGCTCTCGTTTATAAGTCCCTTCTGTCAATAATTGAAGTTGATTTTTTTTAAAAAGAGTATATCGTACTCCGGGGTTATCCCACCGCAATTAGCTGCATTTGCATTACTTTGAAGATCAAGAAGTACAGAAGTGTAAAGAAGGGAAAATAGCCTCAACAGAATAGGGGAAGATGTTCAATTTATCCGATTGTAAGAGTGTTTTAACCTCACTTATTCAACATTGTGGTTTAACAGGAATTAAAGCTTGTTTTGCCTAAAATAAAAAAAGACCAAAAACACAAAAAAAATAGTTTCCCTGGGAATCGAACCCAGAACCTTTCCGGAACATATGCTAATCGCATTTGTTAACGGAAAATCATAACCGCTAGACCAGGAAACTGTATAACCACTTGTTCAGGAGAGGGTGTATTTATTAGATGGAAAACCAACGCCCTTTCGGGGCTCCTTGGTGAATCATAATAACTTAACGAATCACATGGCCTTGCGCCGGCGATGGTTCATTCAAATTTCTGCCCTATCAACTTTCGTCTGTCAACTTTGCAACGTTCTGTGTGATGATGCAAATTGGCCGAAAGGTTGTTGGCGAGTTGGCGATGCCATGTTTACCAGGACTAGAATACGAAGCTACTTGGACTTTAAACCAACTTGGAAAAGTTTCCTCTTGACTTTGTCGACTATGATTTGGAATCTCACACAAAGGATCACTCACGGCCTTAAAATTGAAGCATGACTGGTGTGCGCGGTCAGGGAAGTCGACGAGGAAGAATAATCACAGGATGCCGATAAATCCGGTGATCTATATTGCTTGTTAGCTCGGTGGTTTTGTTTTGGTCGACCCAACTCTGCATACCACTCCCTCAAGGATGAAAATCCATCTCCAGCCGGTCAACCCATGCTTTCCGTTCAATTGCCTCAGACCAAACGCAAGGATACCCGCCAATGCAGAAGCGACACATCGTTACAGTCGCATAAAACAGGACCCGTTTCTGGTATCATTCGGTTGAACCAGGCCTCTACTAAATTAAAAAAGTCGGGGGAGTTCCGGACACCAGGCACCTATGTTGTATTTTGATTCTCAAGTGTCAGAACTACATACGCTAATGCATGCACGCCACGAGTAATAAATACGAGTTTCTTTCAAATGTATACAAGTGATTAATTACAAAATAAGCTACGAGAAACATACTGACGGTTGATTACGAATAATTATTAGTATTGGTATTACCAAAAAAGCAAGTACGTGCATGTACATTAGCGTAGTTCGCGACCGGACTAGCATGGCAGGGTAAAATCTGTTGTATATGTAGTCGCCCACTACTCATCCTTTCAATTGGAACAGCCGTCCCCACCCCTGAACTGCGGTTGGATCTATCTCACACAATAACAACATGTCCCAAATGACTGTGTTCACCGTATCTAACACCGTGATGCCGTGCGTCTTTTCCCAGTATTCCACCCTCTGAGCAGCTCGAAGGTTGGTACAGAAAGTAGAAATCACCTGCACCTGGCGGCCCGCCAGGTCAGCCACCATTTCATCGAGCGTAGACTCTTCGACATCGGCAAATGAAGAGTTCTTCGACAATTGTAGATGTCGTTCCTTGCTGCAGTCAACGCCAATTGTCTGGTATGTCTTTATAATGGCTTCCTGTACGTTGTCCATGTATGGTGTCACAAGCCCTAGTTCTGTAGCAGAGACCAGCTTAAGAGCTTTATTCAAGGCCAACACGGACGTCGTAGCGGGGATACCCGTCGCTGCAGTAATGATTTCACACAGCTCTTTGTCGGCGGGAAAGCCTAGCCACCCAGACGAAGTGCCACTCCAACCAATGATGTCGACGTTGGCGTCCGCCAGTAGCTTGGCCGCGGTTAAGATTGCTTCATTTTGAAATTGTTGGAGGGCATCCTGCTCGAGGCTGATCTTCAAAACAGTAAACCGAGAAAAGTGGACGGAGACATTGGGAAGTTGAGCGATGATTGCTTGCGACAATGGCTCAAGGCTGGTATTGGAAGAAGGCGTGAGAATGCCAAGACGGATACGTTTGGACATTGTGAAGTGATGATTGTATGAATGTAGTTGCAACTCTATTGGTGTTTAAGAATGTAGAAAAAGAAGAAGAAATATAAATACGATTGTAATCAAAACAAGATCTTGTCACCGATAAGCTAAAATATTTCGCTGGATTGGCGCATTCCCTACGATCGGGCGATGTCTATCGCCCGATCTTTTAATCTTCGTTTTTAGGCGAGATATCAATTTCCCTCTACTCTGATTGGTCTCTCCATGCTACTATCGGTACTCAAACCACAGTCAAACCACAAAGTTTTCAGAGTGGCACCAATCGTTCTTTTAGAAGGTGTGGTGATAATGAGTTCTAGGAATGATTTTATAAGAATCACCCCCTCCTCTGTCGGGAGACTTACGGTTTATTGAATTGAACAAGTTACCAACATGTCAACAATAAAGCAGCGCTTCACAGGTGCTAAGCAGGCCATCTCCAGCCCGCGCACCTTGCTGGAATCCGTTCGATTAGAAAACGACAAGGAGACCCAAGAGGAGACAGGACTATTTGGGAGCTGGTCAAACAAGGATTTGGATCCGTCTCCTCCTTCCCAGCGAGTATGGACACCTTGGTCCTTTTTTGCTTTTCAGTTTAGCATCGCCTTTTCGCCAACCACATACAATGTCGGGGCTAGCCTCTACGCTACGGGTCTGAATTGGTGGACCATTTTGATAGCTTCCTGTGAGCCTATTTTCCGCCTGTCATGTTGGTAAAGGTCGCTAACTCAGAAACAGTCATCGTATCTTTCTTAGTGGGTGGACTGCTTTTGTTGAACTCTCGTGCAGCCGCCTTGTATGTGATTTTACATCTAAGTCCAGTATTCCATGTCTAACGATGGTTTCTACAGGTATCATTTGGGGTATCCGACTTTCGTTCGGCTTTCCGCCGGTATATATGGATCACTCGTGTTCATCTTCCTCCGAGGGGTACGTTGTTGGAGCACTAGCGAGACTTGAGAGCATATCTGATTCCAATCGGCAGGTGGTCGCTATTTTATACATGGGAATCCAGACGCTATACGCCAGTTATTTTGTGAACGTGATGCTTCGTTGTGTTTTCGGTCATGACTGGACTGAACTTCCCAATCGTACGCTTGTCCATCTTGTCATTCGTTACAGAGCTAACTATCTCCTCAGACCTCCCCGAGTCAGCCGGTATTACCTCAGGCAAACTGACTTCGTTCCTTATTATTTGGCTCATGCAGTTCCCGTTTGCATTTGTCCACCCGAGCAAAATGTCAACCGTGTTCATGGTGAAGTCAATTCTTGCACCAATTGGGATGATTGCAACAATGATCTGGGCAATTGTAAGTATATTTCGGGTCTTACTAATAGTGTCGTGGCTTACCATTTACTAGGTCTCCAGCCATGGCGTTGATTTTCAGGGACTAGGGCCTAGCAATGTATCTGGGGCTGTCCTAGGCTGGTCTTTCATGAAAGCTATCAACAGTATTGTTTCTAATGTGATTCCTCCATTGGTCAACAGTTCTGATTTGACGAGATATGCAAAGTGTCCACGAGACACGTTGCCCTTGCCAATTGGGTTAGTCTTGAGCAAACCACTTGTCGTGTTTCTGGGGATGGTTATCACAGCCGCTGGATACAAGCAGTTTGGAGAGGTAATTTCTATACACCCGGCAGTGCGTGCTTCAGGAACGTCTAATGCTGACTTTGATAACAGGCATATTGGAACATGTGGGATCTCTATTCCAGTATTCTAGACCATTACTGGGGCCCAGGAACCCGAGCAGTTGTGTTCCTTGCTGCGGGTATTCAGGTTTGTAATTCCAAGCCAGCAAGATCCAATGCCACCTACTGACAATGAATTTGATAGGCGTTTGCTACCATTGCCACAAACCTCAGTAGTAACTCGATTCCAGTCGGATGCGATCTCGCTGGTCTATTCCCACGGTACATGACAATCGTCCGTGGCCAGATCCTCTGCCTGTTATTAGCATGGGTAGTGGGTAAGAAATCAGACTTTCACCATCTAAATCCATCCGGCTCAAGCTAATAATACCTTACAGTTCCATGGAAATTGACTTATTCCGCCTCATCCTTCCTGACCTTCCTCAACTCATACCTGTGTTTCATGTGCCCCATTGTAGCCATGATGATGTAAGTTCCAATATTTGCCCTGAAAAATCCAATCACTAATGCATTACTACAATCAGTGTCGATTACTGGATCGCTCGCAAAGGAAACATTCATGTTCCTTCCCTCTACAACACACAAGCGGGCTCTCCGTACTTCTACACCGGTGGATTCAATCTACGTGCGTTTGCCGCCTGGCTCGGAGCAATCGCTCTTGTCATCCCCGGTGTCTCTGGAGCTCTTAACCCCGGATCAGTCGCAGATGCCGCCGTCAAGATATACAACATGGGCTTCCTTATTTCTACCGCTTTCGCGGCGCTGGCCTACTACATATCTTGCAGGATCTGGCCAGTTCAGATTTATCCTACCGAGCTTGGGACGAAAGACGCGAGTTGGGAGGTTATGAGGTATACGGAGGGCTTTTTCCCAGAAGATGAAATTGTGCCGGACTATTTGCAAGAAACTGTTATCGAGGGAGTGACAGTGAAGCCGCCAAAATGTTCTTTGGAAGACACTGTGAACATGCGAAAGGAAGGAATGATTTGAGACTTTGAAAGTGATTTTCTGTGTTTAGAAATAATTTTTTGTATAGCTCTACGCTTTGAATCAGTATGCAATAATAAGAGTCAGTCGCGTTTCCTTCATACATAGTTTACTTGTTTATTAATCTGATTTTCGGGGTCTGAGGCATCCTCATGTTGTTACGAATTTCCATCGACTTCACTCTGCCCGTTCTGATGGTAAGAATGTCTTGAGGCCGCCAAATGAAATGACTAATTACCACGCCCGCATGTAGTAATCGGGCGTTTTCGTGGAGATAAGACATCCGAGCTTGGTCCTTGGTGGACGATCGGGCGATCGGGCGACCGACTGGGGAAACCCGGAGTAAATTGATAATCGTGTAGATAATTGTGTCGATATCGGATTTGAGGGGCATTTAGCATTAATAAGACCAAAAAGCCAAGTACTCTTTCAATGTTCCAAAAACAACCTTCATTGAGCAAAATGACTAACAAATTCGACCTGGTGGTCCTCAATGGGAAGGTAGTCACTGCTAGTGATATCAAGTATGTTGTTCTCTCCTCAGACTGTCCATAAAATACTAATAAAACGAAAGCGACTATTGCATTGGCATTAAAAATGGGAAAATCCAAGCCCTCGCCGAGAGCTTTTCGGAAGAGGAGATAGCAGGGGCCGAGGTGATCGATGCTGAGTCCGTGCCAAGTATGTTTCATTAGATGTGGATATGGAAGTCTAACCACTGCATCTATAGAGGAGCATATGTGATGCCTGGAGGAATCGACGCTCACGTCCATTTATGTCAAGACCTAAAAACTGGTGAGTCAGTAACTCAGTTATACTCGAGCTGCGCTGACAATTTTATCTACAGGACCACACGGTCTGGGAGGCGAATGTGCCGATAATTTTGAAACAGGCTCACGGAGTGCAGTGGCCGGTGGTACAACTACCATTATTACTTTTGCGACGCAGACCAGAGCAGATGAAGATCGAAGTCTTATCAAGGTCGTTGAGTCTTATAATGCACGGGCCGAAGAGACGGGCAGCTACGTGGACTATGGGTTCCATATCATTATTGTTCGCAATGATGCCGACGTGCTGGAGAGCGAACTCCCGGTTTTGATCAATGACTGGGGCATTAGCAGCTGCAAGCTCTTTCTGACGTATGAAACACAGCGATTGACGGATTCGCAACTTTTGGATGTCATGTGGGCTGCCAGGAAAAATTCGATCACCACGGTAAGTAAATTCCTTCGGAGAAGACGATCAAAGGCTGATTTTATAGATGATTCATGCAGAGAATGGGGACATGATTGGGTGGCTTACAAGTACGAGTGATCGAGCACGCCAAGGGACGATGAAAGCTAATTGAGTAACAGAGAAACTCGAGGAGAAGGGGATGAATGGTATGTCTGTTGATACTCTGATCTACTTCACAGCTGCTGACTTGTTGTAGCTCCGTACTACCACGCTTTGTCTCGCCCACCTCTTGTCGAGGGGGAAGCAACTAATCGCGCCATTGCCCTAGCGCAATTGATTCAAAATCCAATCCTTTTCGTGCATGTCGGATCTGCAGTATGTCTACCTCTTCTTATCTAAGGCTGAAACTAACGTTGGAATTTCATCAGCTTGGGGCGGCCAATGTACGACGGGCTCAAAATATAGGATTGCCAGTGTACGCAGAAACATGTCCTCAATATTTCCATCTGACATGGAACGACCTGGTAAGTCCTCCTACATCAATCGACTATTCACAAGTCCTAAGAGAATGTACTTCTCTAGAAACGGTTCCATTCGCCGACTTGTTTCGAAAACAGCAAAATGATTTGCTCGCCTCCCCCTCCACCGGATGCTTCTGACCAGGAAGATCTATTTGTGTAAGTTTCGTCTACAAGGACCTGATCAATGAAAGCCATCTAATTTGAATAGTGGTCTCCACAATGGAACCTTTACGATCTACTCATCCGATCACTGCCCTTTCCGTTATGACGACCCCCACGGCAAGGCTTCTGGTGTGCTTGAGCATGCTAAGAGCATGGAAGGGGAGTCGCCAGATGCCTGCGAGGATCTTCATGCCCTCTTGACACGCAAGGAAGGGTCATTTAAATTGATTCCAAACGGCATTCCGGGAGTTGAAACCCGACTCCCACTACTCTACACTGGCGCACTAGCAACTGGTCGCATATCGCCACAACGATTTGTGGAGCTTACATCTACAAATCCAGCGAAACTGGTGAATATTCTTCAACTTGGTCTGTCAACATATGAGCATCACTAATTCAATATAGTACGGGTTATATCCCAAGAAGGGCACATTGATGCCGGGATCTGACGCCGATTTGGTTATTGTGAGTTTCTATTTCCTGCTACAAGCAAGCCAAGCTTTTAACATTGTGAAAATCAGTGGCACCCACAGAAGACGTTTGAGCCATTCCATCTCACTAATGCCCAACTCCACCACAATGTCGATTGTAAGAGATACACCCAATGCAATTCTACATTTAGTTGACTGTTTTCCCACAGATACACCATACGAAGGATTTAAGATGACCAATTGGCCTCGCTATACGATTCTTCGAGGCAAAGTGATGTGGGCCAACGGTAAGATAGTTGGCAAGGTCCGAGATGGCCGTTACGTGAAGCGTGGGCCGAGCCAACTAAGCCAGGGTCTTCCCGGGGCCGATCGGGATCCACGACGCGTTGCAGCTTGGTTATATGAATGAAATGATGTGGTGGGCTGCGATAAATATGTATATATGGAGATAGAAAGGCCATCGCCCGATCCATATCGCCCGAAACATAAAAGCCTATCGCCCGATCATTTTACCCGCACCCGTAATAATAGTTAGCAACTCGTCAAAAAAGGGAAGCGTCATTCAATTGAATATCTTACTAGTATGAATTAGTCGCGATACTTCCACTGATGCGAGCTCCAAAACGCTCAAAATTAGACGCGTGTCGTGTCATGTCCACGGGTGGCCAGCTCGCTTACTAAATACGTTTATGCCGGCTGCACAACTGTTTGGTAGCCTCAGGCTCCCGTAGTTTCTTGCTTTTCTTCCCGTTCGTCCGCTCTACTACATAGGTAGCGATTGCGATACACAGTCTTTCTCCCAACAGAGATTCTTGATTGCGTAGCAGTCCCTAGACCATCGGATCTCCCGTCTTCATTCGTGTTGTCTATGGCCCGTCCAAATGAATCACCCTAGTCCAACCGGGCGTGCATATAGATCGAAGGTCAACCGGCCGTGCGATCGCTGTCGAGTCAGAAAGACAGCATGCGTCCTTCCAGAGGGCCCACCTTGCAGGAGTTGCTTGAATAATGGCAAAGAATGCTCCTTCAATTTGCGTCCCAGATTGAAGACGCGGCGCATGAGTGCAGAAAATCAGGCTTCCCACACTACTACCTCTCAGGAGATTCCAATGACGACAATGGGATTTAGCCCTGGTAATAGCCAGTTGCACCACGAACCATTGGACCGAGACATGGAATACTCCTACAATGATCCAAACCAAGTGGGGCCGGGGCACAGCACTCGGAATGACCCTCAATCTGAGCTGATGGGCCGTCATCCTTCAATGGAATATATGGATGACCACCCTATCAGTCCGGATGTAGATTCATTACAGCAGCTTGGGGCCATTACCAGTCCTGCATCGCAACCGGTTCAGCGCATTCGGTCCCTAGATCTCATTGAAGGATCAATCGCGCAGTTTTACGGCATGTCTTCAGAATCCGATCCGTGGCTGCTTCGACATTGCCGATACGATGAATATGGCATGCGCAGCATGCATCGGACTCAGATTCGTAATGTCGGTGGCGTCCCAGTTGACGGGTTGGTACCGGTTCATTTTCTCGAGACCGAGAGGGATCTCATGCTCCCCCAAAGCCCAGAGATGGATACCTGCTCCCGGAAGGACACCATGCATTACCGGAACGAGCTCGATGCCATGGTCTCGCCTACACATGGCGAGCGGCTTCTATCTTTATTTCTTCGATTTGTGTTCCCAGCAATTCCAATAATATCCAGGTCACAGCTGGGTATTTGTTCATCAGTGTCGACTGCGGCTTTGGAGAAGATCCCCGTTCATTTGCTTGCTGCAATTTATGCCTCCGCCACCCCATTTGCGGTTCATGACCCAGTGCTGTGTATTTCTGCTGCATATGGGGAGCTCTTGTGCGATAAATTGTGGGGTATGGTCTACGAGCTCATTCTCAAGGAGACTCACACGCCAAAGCTGGCGGTTCTGCAAGCATCGTTGCTATATCTGCAGCAAATCCCCGCCGGAAGCCTGGAAGCACTCCCAGATGGCCCATTCATTTGGTCTTTCCTTGGGTCTACGGTGGCCCTGGCTGTTTCTCTCGGTATACATGTTGAACCCCGGCCATGGGGGATCCCTCCGTGGGAGAAGCGCCTACGGAGAAGACTGTGGTGGGCAGTTTACGTCGAAGACAAATGGCGGAGTCTTCTTACGGGTCGGCCTTCATTTATCCACCCTGAGGAGTTTGACATCTTTGAGCTTAGCGCCAATGATTTCATCCAAGATGAGAAACCACAAGAACACGACCTTGATTGCCAGCCATTTTTCTACTATGGCACAGGCTTGGCTCGTATCGTAGAGAATCTGCATCGGACATTTTAGTAAGCAAAGTTCTCCCCCAATCAGGTTAATTCTGCTATTGATTATACAGCACCATAAAAGCCTCGCAGAGACTTTCAGATGACTTTCGTGCATCTATCGATGCTGCAAGACCGATCCGCGCCCAGCTTCAGCAATGGTACTTATCGCTTCCTGATAATCTTAGACTCAAGCGCAGCTCTGGGGGAAATAGCCACCCAGCGTCTAACCCAGTTGAGGGTGCCGCTGACCTTCATTTTTCATACTTGGTTCTTGAGATGTTCCTTTATCGTGCTATTCTGCGTCCTCTTGCCAGATCACCACCACCGCCACCGATATCAGATGACACAGACCCAACTTCGATGGGCTCTTCCTGGCTTGTTGAAGACTTGACATTCGATAGACATGTCTTCGATCAACTCCCACTCATGAATTCCATGCAGCTTGGCGAGGCTGAAGAGGCTACCCTCAAGGCTGCTGAAAAGTGTGCGGCCATCATCGTCAATTTTGTAGGGGCGTTAGTGCCGCATGAATTTGGATCATTCTGGCATCCCTGTAAGTCATCTGTTCCTGTGGTTTGAAACCAATTTTCGAACAGGATATTGACAAGTCTGCCCGTCAGGGAATCGAATCTGTTTTGCCGCAGTATCCAACTTTATCACTCTGCTTCTTGTCCAAGCACCCACCAGGCAACATGCATTGAGATCGAAGGATTTGCTTGATCTGTGGTCACATACGCTTCGTTACCAGCACCGGAGCCATGAGAGCCTAATGAAGCTCGGTCTAGTGCGGCTAAATCAGATGCAGATCGAAGGACTGGAGAACATTTTCAATTTGCCTGCGCATGTATCCGATATTTTAAGGGATAAACAGCATAATTAGGGGTATGGCTTTCGGATATAGGATGTAAAATAAAAAGGATGACAAGACCGGCAAGCTACTCCGCGGTTTGGGGGCGGCCAAAGCATGATGAAACGACTTTTGCCTGAGAGATGCAACAGATAATATGTACATTTAAACAGATAACTCTCTCTCCATAGCCCATAGAACAAACCCTTTGCTATAACCCCAGGTCAAAGGAGGGCAATATTGTTCCCCTACGACGCGGAACCCCCTTTTCAGCCAATAAGCACCTCGGAGCTCGCGAACAGACCTGAGCATCATGCACGAGCGAGATAATTCAGTGCAACCCGCAAGAGACACTCTCCTCTTCAGTTCGTTTTCACACGCCTTGGCCAAGGCTTCCCCAATGCCTTTCCTCCTATACCGAGGATCGGGCGTGATTGCGACAGCTACAAGTTCGAAACCTCCCTCGCAGTGCGTATTTTGAGATTTCTCATGGAGGCTATCGAGTACCGTAGAGCTGCCGGAGAAGATCTCCTCCGCACTGAATTGCTCAAAATGGCCCGGTAGCTTCCACGGGGATCCTTCGGAATCTGACAAGCAGACTTTCAAACTCGCAGTACCGATGATCGCATTTTCAGCGAATGCAATCGCAGTGAAGCCAGTTTCCTCAAGTTCTTCCGCAAGTTGCGTGTCGCTCATGAGCCGGGGTCCGCTTTTTACGAAAGAAGTGCCAGTGGTATCATAGTAGCTGACGTTGATGATGTCCCGGAGCTCTGGCAGGAAAGGCTGCCTGAGAAGATCGCTTTGAGTGTAGGTTTCAATTCTGTAGGAGGGAGCTTGTGAAGACGGGATGATTGTTATAACCTCCGGAGCCTGTAGTGGGCCTTCCATGGTGGTAGTAGACATTTTGAGGATGAAAAAAATACATAAAAAACCAACATTCAACAATTGATATAGATAATATTTTAGTTCTTGGAGAATCCAAAAGAATGTAACTTGTCAGGGGAAGGGCGTGATAGACATGGAGTAAACCGAAGGGCGCAAAAATAGCGCCGGATGACCCAATCGATAGCGGCCAGTCTGTGCGGCACATCTCAGTTTCAGAGTAAGCAACGCCAAGAAGTGCCAAAATAGGAAATTCTCGTATTCTCCAATTTCGTGGGAATCATAATCCAGAAGCCGAATAATACCCAATCATTCGCCAGTACCAAGAGAGTAAATACTCCCTGGATTCCCAGTGCATAGGTGCCCACCATTTCTCATGAAGAACCGCATAACCCGTCTTTATATCCTCCGGCCATGGCCACTGAATATTCCATGAGAAGTCCACGGCAGTCCATGGGGTGGGGCCTTCATGAGAAAGGGCAACGTTCAGGACATTCTGGTCAGCCACGCTGGTATCAAAACTATCCTCGACTGCCAACAACGCCTCGAAGTAGCGGAACAACTTCAGTGACGGCTGCAGAATCATAAAGCCAGCATTCAAGGTGTCCCAGTCCCAAAAGTCCTCTGGAACACGCGAAGGATGCGACGAGTGATTTGTCCTGAGTTGCGGCAAGCCAGCAGCAATGTAAGTCTCTGGTAGGGATATTTCAACCCCGTTAATGGATAATGAGGTTTGTGTGGATGTTGAAAGCCAAGTCACAGGGGCGCTGAGAATTCCGTCAAGACATCTTGTCAGCACGGAATCACCATCCAAAAACACAATCAAGTCGTACTGGACCATCTCCCACAGCCGCAGTTTCGTCAGAACATCGGCCCATCGAGAATCCGTCGGTCGAACCCAGCCCACTCGGAAATCGGACCACTCGATGACTTGTGCACCGTCGGATCGGAGACGGTCTCTCTTTTCTTGGTCGACATTCTGGTGAACAAAGACCACGAAAGGGATGGCCAACCTGGTTCGCGTTTCCGGTGCGTGGAGGAACTGGTATGTGAGGATTCGAGCCGCGTCAAAATATGGATCGCTGGTGTTGCGGAATTCGGAGATGAAATGATCTTTCTGTTCGGTGGGCGCGCTCAGATATGTCGCGTAAATTATTTGTTGGTTTTTAGTGACTCCTAGTCTTTCACTTCGAGGCAGGTAAACATTCCAAAACCACGACAGAAACAGCATAAAGCCACCGAAAAGCCCAATGGAGCCGACTAGGTGCTTCATTCTCATCACAGTCGGGATTATTGAACGGTAATACCCATGGTCGGTCACGGGCGCATCTTTATATAAATCAAACTAGAGTACCTGGAGAGAGTGTGAGCTCCTCTCATTGTTCTCTCTGCACAACCCAATATCGCTGTTTGTCTCAGTTTCCTTTTAGATTTGTCTAAATAAAGAGCAATCAATACCTAGTCGTTCAATCCTTGGTAAAGAGATAATTCCAACCTATTTGCTGGACTTTTATCAATTCAAGGCTGATGCTGTTCATCTTGTAAGGACAATCCCAGTAGGATAAGGGTCCCTGGTCATTGCTGAATGCGATATATCTATAACAACTAATACATCCAGTTGCACGGATGACTGTACACCAAAGGATTAATTGAATATAAACTAAGGACCTTAAAGTTGAGATGGCTCTAGAGCTTGTTTTGTCTCTTTCCTGCTCTTTATACACACACACGTTTCTACATCTTCGGTATGGCGATGAACGGCCATTACCACAATAACAGACATCACGTCAACCCCCGAAACATTCACTCTTCTGCGAAACATACTAGAATTTTCTACGACCGTCTAAAATATAATTGGGCAATCTTTCCTCTAACAGCTCCTATCTGCTTCGTTGGTACGTCTTTCCCCATTAGCACATTGCAAAATATATGTACCTAAACGACACAGCTTTATATCGAGTAAGTACTTGGGCTGGCTTTTATGACATGGTTGTCAAGCCAGGGGTGCTCTGGACTCCCGACTGCACCATTCTAGCCATTATCTACGCTCCATTCGTGCTAGGGCAGCTTCCACCATACTCGATATTATGGGGTCTTTGTCTACCGATGCGGCCGTTTGCATATAAAAAGTTACCTAAGGGACGATATTTCCGCGAACTCAAAGTATGCTTGGTTACGAAGGGAACAAATGTTCAGGTAAGCTACCTTTGTCTCCCCTTGACATTCTTTAACACTATATCAAAGCTCATGCATTAGTGATAGACCGTGGTAAACTCTATCAGGCCATGGAAAAATTGCAGGCAATATCCGAATGTCACATTTCATGTGGCGTTAGATTCCGCCGATGATAATTTCCAGGCTGCACTTCCTGATTTTGTCAATGTGGTGAGTGTGCCAGTCTCATTTCAACCCACCCATGCAAAATATAAAGGACGGGCATTGGAATGGTGCCGCCTGCATTGGAAACTATCCGATCTTGATTGGGTACTTCATCTAGACGAAGAGACCGAGATTGATGAGTACCTGGTACAATCCTGCCTTGACTTCATCGAGCGAGGAACAGAAGACGTCGGAATGGTATATGTTCTGCTTGAATTATTATCTTACACACGCTAAAACATATGCAGGGAACAATCTACTACACATCGCATAATTATTGGAAGAATCCATTCTTGACCACTGCTGAGATTTTCAGAGTGGCAGAGGATTTTGGCCGATTTCAACTTCCAATCCGACTTTTCAAACGCCCTTTCCTTGGCTGGATGCATGGCTCCTTTATATTGATCAATGGTGGTGTAGAGAACAAGGTCACCTGGGATACTAGATGTCTTGCTGAAGACTTTTGGTTTGCATTCCACGTATGTGATCCGATTACATCAAGAAGTCAGTTGCTAATATAGAATATCTTACCGAGCAGGCTGCACGCCGAGGAGTCAAGTTCGGTTGGATTCACGCAATCGCACGAGAACAGCCTCCCGTTAGTGTTTCGGACTTGATTAAGCAACGTAGAAGGTGGTACACGGGGATCATGTCAATGGATAGCTGGTTGGTTAAATTGGTTCTCGCGATCCCCATGATGGGACCGTTAGCTTATGGAAGCGTGTAAGTATTTCGAAAAGTCTTGCTAGTTCTGACACTAATATCGACCGCATTTAGCAATCTATATACATTGGTTATCGGGTGGAACATATCCGTTTCACATTGGTTCTTCGTGTGGAATCTGTGTAACATCGCCGTGGACACGCATGGTCTTATTGTGGGGAGTGTGTTCCAGGACTTACACCTTGGTGACACCCCTCTGGTTTCCATGATTTTGCATATCATTTTGACATTGCTTTGGGCACCATTTGTGCAATTCGCGCATTCAATAATCTTTATATCGGCATTGATTTGGCCTGCAAGGAATTTTGTGGTGATCCAAAAGGTATAGCATTGTGGACTAGGCACCGATAATATGTCGAAGAATTTCGTGTTGATGAAAATTATGAGTATAGCGGACTAAAAGTATGCATACCAGAAAGTGCCAAGCATATAGAGACCAATTTCATCATAAAAGAAGCAGGGCGAGCTAAGCTTAACTTTTAAAACTCCACTCTCTCTTCCGCCCAACCAAAAGTTGGTAGCCATCCAACACGATGTTGAGAATACAACTCTGCCTGTGGCTTAGATTGTTCAAGTGGATCGGGCCCATCGAGCGTTCCTGCCAGGATAACAACCATCCCTGGGAACTTCTCATGCGTCTTATAGATAGCACAGCCACATTTGCTGCAGAAGTTGATTGTCAATTTCATGCCACTTTCGTGCATCTGGGTATATTGCGTGGCAGGGCCATCCGTGACACGGAATTTGTCCTCTGGAATCAATAAATTCAATGTGTGTGTTCCACCGCTAATCTTTCGACAGGATAGACAGTGGCATGTTGCCTAAATAAAAACATAGTTTAATTATAGAACCTTTGAGAAATAGTCAAGCTGCTTACCTTCATTATAGGCTCTGAGGTATAATCATACTTGAGGGTCTGACATAGACATGATCCTGTAGGCATTGTGACTGTGAATAGTTATACTTATACTAGGGCAAGCTTAAGGTCGATCGGCTTAATTATAAAACCTCGAATATGATCATATATTCTTGGAAGATATATGTAAATATTTAAGGCTTTCTCATACCTAGTAAATAACAGACAGCGTAATCCTTGCGTCATTACACATTGAATACCCGTGGCAAATTGTGGCAAGTGACACTCACCTGATCATTTTGTATCATGCTGCTATCGCAGTCCGTTTGAATACGAGAAGTATGAGTTCTAGACAAAGGCACAGTTATAGGGATAAGTTGGAAGAGACGAAGTTGGAGCCATGGATCGCATCGTATCGTGCAACCTTATTTCAGCCCTGAGGGCTAGCCGCATCTATTACGCAGACGACTTGTATCTAGGGTAACGTGTGGTAGGAATTCTTTTCTTTAAAAAAAATCATACCCTTAAATAATGTTATTTTGACCGAAATTATACATATTTGTCTTATGGTAGCCTCAAAATTGCATTATGGGTGGGCAATAAACCGGAAAGGTATAACCGTGGATCGCGGCCTAAAATCCAATGTAAACATATATATGTATGTATGTTCGAAAATAGCTGGCAATGCGATTTATGCTTCAATCCATAGACATCGACCTGTAACTATGGATGTCTACAACCTAATTAGTACTGCACACCCTTTTTTTATTATACGTACAATATTCATTCCAATCTGTAATTATCGGGTCTATTTAATTAATCATCGAGGGTCTAGATTAACTATAGACTAGACTAATCAACGAATCAATAATCTAATACCGGTGATATCGGATAATTAGTCTTCCGCACGACCCAGTAAAACCCAGACCCAACCCAGGCCTAATCCAGTCTGGGTTGTCGATACCTTCGACCTAGACCTGGCCAGGAACCACGGGTGAACCTCACGAACCTCAAGGAGGTTCACCCACCCGGAGGTTAAGGTTCCATGACCTAGAACCTCCGGGCGGTTCTATCTTGGACCGAACCTCATGGAGGTTACCCGCGGGTGAACCTGAGGTTCAACAAGCATGACAAATAGGTAAAAAACGTGACTTAGGGTCAACTACATAAATTATGTAGAAATAGGCTGTATTCTCTCGTAATTATAAAACAACACTTCATTAATGTATGCCCTTGCAGGAGGATTTAGTGCATATTATGGGTTCACTGGCTCAGCGTCGAATTAGGGTTTCAACTTTCAATCATCAATGGTTTATATTATATCTATAGTTCAGTGTCGGGTTATAGTTCTCAAGAGTCAAGATTCAAGTAATCAAGCTATATACCCATCTAGTAGTCTCGACTTCTTCCTTATTCTACCGGATGCACGATGCTGCGTATCAGGGAAGTCAGGTAAGGGTGATGCCCTATTCTTATCTAGATCCGCAAATTCATCGGCATCAGATTCTTCCTCATCGTCAGAATTAACCGCAGGCCGCTTTCCAGCGGCGACTACTGAGAGTAGCGGTGCGTCCGGGGTTGCATCAAGACATATCTCGACATCCTCCTCATCATCACTAATAGCCTCGAAAGCATGTGTCTGGACATCAAGTGCTTCGGTCGAAGCGGCTATCTCATGGTCTAAAAGATACTCTTGGAGAATCAGCCGCTGCTCCTCCTTGATATCGAATCTTGTTGTACACATGTATAACATAATATCGCGAACAGTCTCTGGGTTTAACGACCCCCGGCGGTAGTGGCATACATCGCGGGCAGAGTTAAAAAGACGCTCAACTCCGGCACCAGTCGCTGGAATTGACATGATATCACGGGCAATGCTTGCAAGAATAGGGAATTCCCTCTGATGATCTTTCCAGAAGATCCGAATAGATCCTTTAATAGTTTCTAATTAGGTAAGGTTAGTTATATGATTTATAAAGTAGGCTTACTTACTTACCACTCTGGAGATATTTGGTGAGCTCGTCGTACTGCGGAGCAGTTAATCGTTGTGAAGAATCGCCGTCAAGAGCCTTCTCAAGCTCCGATTCAGTTGTGAATAACTGGCTATCAGATTGCATCATCTCTGATGGTATACGTTGGCTGTATCTCTCAAAAAAAGACTGAAGACTCTCGCGGTATTCTTTTCTATAGTCCTTTCCTGTCTTAGGATCTGGGTCCCAATCACTTGTTGAAAAGAACTCCATCTTGCTCGACGGCGCTAAGATCGTCCCAATTGCATAGAGATTGCCTTCGATACCATCTGTCTCGCCGTAGTATTTCTTCAGTTTCTCTTTCGCAGCATCGAGGGAGGAAAGCATTAGCTGTTTCCAGGGAACCTTCTTTCGACGAAGCTGACCCATTGATCTTTCAAGATGATCGAAGAGCTTATTGTAAATCCTAAAGACAAGGTGGATACTCGAGTCTTTAGTACGACAAACTAGCGTAGTGAGCGTGAAAAAGGGCTGAAGAATGCAAAGTAAATAGTCAATCTGTCGCCACCCCTCTGCACTTAATGTAAAATGGTGTTGATCATAGTCGGAACAGAACTTGTTGAATGCGATATGAAGCCTCTTCGCCCGTCGGAGCATTAGAAATGTCGAATTCCACCGTGTACGAACATCTTGGATTAGAAGAAGCCGGAGCGTATTACTAGGCTGGGTATTTAGGAAGGCTTCCTTACGTTGAGGGCTTCCGTTGATATAAACCGCAAGACCTCGGACCTATTAGAAATCAGAATAGTTAGTGTTATTGAATCATAATTCATGATTTCTAAATAGAAGCATACCTTGTTCAGAGTATCGGCGATCTCATGTTTCTGCTGGCGCGCACGAAGTAAACGTACACGATCATCAGACCATTCTATCTCGGCGTTATCATTCTTTGGCGAAGCCTTGATTTTACCAAGTAAATCAACTAGACTTAATTGAATAACATGCGCAAGGCAAGGCACTTGGACAATCGTAGAATCCGTCTCCATATGTAGCTTCTTGATTGAATCATTCACTGCTGCGATAAGTGTCTTATTGTTAGACGCATTATCAGTTGTCACCGCCAGCACTCGGTCAGCGATTTGGTGCTTTTGTAGGATCTGGATAACTACGTCCCCGAGGTTCACGCCAGTATGAGATCCAGAAATTGGCTCAAACCCAAGTAGGACCTCACGATACTCCCATTCCTGGTCTAGAAAGTATCCTGTGATAGCCATAAATGCGTGCTTGAATGGTGAAGTCCAGCAGTCAAGCGCAATCGACATTTTTGCACCAGATGGCAGCTGTTGTAGTGTCTCTTGTTGATACTCTGTAACGAAACCCCGGAGGCGGTCGCGAATCACCTTTCTTGATGGAACGCTCGGTAGTGTAGGTGCTAGCCGTGCGTAGGAAATGAGATCATGGAATTCTTGGTGCTCGACGAAGAGAAAGGGTAAATGTGATACAGTGATTAGGTTTAGAATCTTCTGTTCCCATGTTTGTTGGGTAAAGAGAGGCGCTGGTCTTCTCTCGGCCTAAAATATAGTGAATTTATTATTAGTATTGATATTGAGTATAGGCTATTTCGAACATACCGCGTCGCTAAGTAGTTGCTGGATATTACCCTTCTTCGTAATTCGCTGTCGACACCTTGGCCCATCAAGATGCTTCTGCATCGATGAGTTTCCAGTATGATTTGTAGCTGGATGCGTAAGAACTGTACGGCACCGATTGCACATAACGCCAGGCTTTCCATCTTTAGTATGTGCAACTTGTTGAAACCCAGTCCAGCAGTCTGCGCGACGGCTGACCTCCCAGTTTAGCCGCTTCTTCTTACCAAAATCAGTTTGAAGCCACCACTTAACGAATTCCGCGGACATGTCGGTAGTAAAGACGATATACTCGTTAATACTATCTGGCTTGATTCGCGTAAGGGTGTCTAGGGCCCGAGGTCCTGCACGAGATCGGACTTGGTTGTCTAGAAGGTCTGGAAGGTCCAGAACTGAATCAAACTGGCTTTCGCGTTGGTATAGCGTATCGTCAGGGGTAAGGTACTGTAGCGCGTCTAGCGGTAACCCTTCGAAGCTAGATGATGCGTAGCCGTAGCCGTCGGTAATCTGAGACATGATAACTTTAGTAAACCAGTACAACTTAGGGAAGATAATAAGGAACTCACTAGTTATTCTGTAGAAGTTACGGGGTCTTCTTGGGGCATCTGTTTATCCCTGTTCCATAATGCTTAAATTGATATATCAACTTTTATAAAGCCCTATCTATATCTGATTCGCTAGTATAGTGGATCACTATAGAAACGAACCTCAATAAACCTCAACGAACCTCAATAAACCTCAACGAACCTCAATAAACCTCAATAAACCTCAACGAACCTCAACGAACCTCAATGAACCTCAACGAACCTCAACGAGAACCTCAATGTAGGAAAAATAGAATGTCTAAGTCTAACAATTGGGACATTTAATCCGGATTCACGGTATATCTAGACCAATTAACATGAATTCTAAAAGACAAAGTAATAGAAGAAGATATAATGGTTTGAATGATATTAAAATGAGGGGGAATTAAACTGCATCTTTATAGTTTTCTTAAAGAACTGTAGTTCTACTAATAAAGATACACATACTTTACAGTGTCTGCGATATATATATCTACAACTTTACATGCTATTTTATCGATGACCTCTATTGACCACCCACCACGTCGATATCATCGGATATTACCTATAATTTATAGGTGACCACGCCTCCTATTTACTTTTCAATGACTATATCTTTATAATTCATTATATTGATAGAGTATTCAGTGGAAAGTCTATAGTTTAACGGAACAGCTGTAAAAAACAGAGATGAATCATCAATTTTATCCAGCCAAAAGAGGAAAGGCGTCAAGAAATTATGTATATGCAGGTTCATGCGGGTCGATGGAGGTTGAACCTCAAAGAACCTCTGGAGGTTAATGGGCGGTTGGAGGTTAGTAAGGTTGGAACCTCACCTCAAGAGGTGAGGTTCGAGGTTCCGGGGTAGGGACCCATGCGGAGGTTCAAAGCCAGGTCTACTTCGACCTAGTAGTAGGTCTGGATCGGACTAGGTAACCTAGTACTAGGTTTAGGGCCCTAAACTAGGTTATGAACTAAATAAAAAGGATGAGAGAGATACGTTTAATTAAAGATTCCTTAAATTAAACTTAAAAACTAATAACTTAAAACCCTCCAGTGAACAAATAGCGGCAAGGGGTGACCATTAAAACGGACAGGGAAATCCAACTTGCGCGGCCTAAAATCGGGTGCATATGTGGTACTAATCCTATTAAATTATTTACTAAAATAAATATGAATAATACATACACCTGTATGTACCGGAATTTAGGCCGCGAATGCGAATTTCCCGATCGGGGTGCCGCCGCTTTATGAGGGCGCTCAGGGTCCTGCTCACTGAGTATTTCACAGCACATGTATGCTTAGTAATATAAAAAAATATTGTCTAGTATTTCTCAAATATTACTCAGTGAAAGTTCAGGGTATGCTCAGTGAGCACTCAGGTTTACTCAGTGAGCGCTCGGGGTAGACTACGACATCGCCCGTCCACGGTGGACGGTGGGCTATTTGGATTTTCGAGTGCCTGTCCATAACGCCCACCGCCTATAGGCATACCTATCGCGGGCATGCCCACTATACCCACCGTTATATAAAGTTGTCTTAAATAACTAACGTATTTCCCGGGCGAGCTGCGCACCCCACCCAAAACGCGTCAATTAATTTAACCCTTTCTTCTTCAACCACCTACCATGCCACCAATACGCTCCCGAAGCTCTAAAAATTCAATAGAGCAAGAGGGTAGGGTCTTATTAGCTATCCAGGCTATTAAGAAGCAAGAAATCAGCGCTATTCGCGAAGCAGCGCGCTGTTTTAACGTGCCCCAATGAACCCTCCGGGCGTGTCTTCGTGGGACTACCTTTCGTGCTGAAACCCGCGCTAATAGTTAGAAATTGATAGAAATTGAAGAGGAATCACTTCAAAAATAGATTATCTTTATGGATTCTCGTGGAGCAGCCCCCGGCCCTCTTAGGCCTTGACAAGTCCTGCAGCACCAGTGCTGCGGCAGCACTAGGCCTTTGGTTCGGTGCTGCAGCACTGTAAACAGTGCAAACACGACTAACCTCGTGACATGCATAAGTTATGTAGAAAAGCCAGTAATTTTGGGGTATTTTATTTACAATAATCTGGAAATCTGGAAAAGATCATTATTATATTTGTTCGATTATTTGCGCTTTATTTGGTCCTCTTAGTATATACATATTCATCATCATCTCTCCGACGCTTCCGTTCCCTATGTGGACGCTGGCTATCGCTTTGTACAATTCTAACTATTGGGTGATGATTTAGAAGTTCAACTGAGTCAATCTCTTGATCCAGAGTCTCCTGATCCAGAGGTAGGTCTGGGTCCTAGAGACCAGGTGAAGCATTATGATCATAGGCGTCCATATTATCGGCTTCAGATACGTATTCGGTTTCAGAATCAAGTTCCTTATCATCGCTAATAGACTGCGACATCGCCCGTCCATGGGCACCTAGGAGGTGCCCAAGGCCCGTCCACGGTGGGCCTTGGGCTATTTGGATTTTCGAGTGCCCGTCCATAACGCCCAAGGCCCACGGGCATGCCCACGGCGGGCATGCCCACGATGCCCACCATTATATAAAGTTGTCTTAAATATATATAAAAATTAGATATATAGTAAATTATAGTATATATATTTATATATATCTTATTAAAAATCCGGAATTATGATTGTAAATATATAAAAAATATAAATTTAGTTGAAATATTTTGAAATCTGTCAATTAAAATCACGTGTTGCGCTAATTTTGCTTACTAAAAAGGCCCACGGGCGCCCACGGTGTCCATGGACAATGGGCCCTAAGGGTAGGGCCCGTCCATGGGCGTATTGATAGTGCCCATCGCCCGCTTACATAGTGCCCATCGCCCGCTTACATAAGGCCCGTGGGCACTGCCCACCCGCCCGTCCATGGGCGATGTCGCAGTCTAATAGACGATAAAGCCGACAACGTTAATCTAGACAATATAGATACCGCCACAGAAGAGGCAGAGCCAGATTATTCTATACGCCACCAATTACCAGTGATTCCGTTCAGTCAACAACGTCCCCAAAGAGAACGTAAGCGACGAAGAGATAATGATTTGTATACTTATACATAATAGAGATAGATTAGTATAGAATTTTTTAACAGCTGTTAAAATATCAAATTCTACTGTCTATCAGAAATTGCGCTCTAGATATAGCACTGCAAATCTACTATTTTTGTCCTAATACCAAGCCCAAAGTATTATTATCTCTATTCTTTGAGTAATTAAAATACCCAAAAAAACAGTGGCATTCTTCATAAGTTATGCAGGTCACATTTTTCTACATGTTTGCACTGTTTACAGTCCCATAGGAGTCCCATCAAAGTCCCATGGGAGCGGACTGGACCGCTTAGTCCCATTCTTAGCACTCCCATGGGAGTGGTCCCATGGGAGTTGGCAAGGTCTAGTCGTAGGACTCGAAGTGGATCTATATAACCCCCGGAGGCATATATATAGATAAAGATCATAGTTATATGATCTCGTTTAATGAACACTACTATATATAGTGGAACTCGGAACATATTAGAAGCTCAGAGTTCAGTTTGAATATAGGCAGTACTATATGTATTGACCTTCGCAGTAGTATTGTATGCACCCTGTCACTCTGATCGATTAAACCGGGGCCCCTGCATAGTGGGGCTTCACATCTTAGAGAATTATACGTAATTTACTATCAATCAATCAGTCAAAGTTCAATTAATTAGTCTATTAGTTCCTGCCTAAGCTAGTTTTGCCTGTTGTCCTTCTCAGAAAGTAACCGTAGGTCGGAGGTACGCAGCATGAACAGAAAATATGGACGTATCAATTTCAAGACTACTAGCAGCTACCACCACATAGAACTCAAAATTCTGACAACTCTAGGCCTTAGAAGGATACCCTATTCCGTAGGCAGCATCGGCATCATCCCGCTTGGCAGGATAGCCTATCAAGTAGGCAGCATCGGCGTCATCCCGCTTGGCAGGATAGCCTATCAAGTAGGCAGCATCGGCGTCGTCCCGCTTGGCAGGATAGCCTATCAAGTAGGCAGCATCGGCGTCATCCCGCTTGGCAGGATAGCCAATTCCGTAGGCGGCATCGGCGTCGTCCCGCTTGGCAGGATAGCCAATTCCGTAGGCGGCATCGGCGTCATCCCGTTTCGCCTGTGTAGCACCTAAGGAGCTAGTTAGAATAATACATTCGCAGTGGGAAAGACCAGGAATATGTACCGCCCTCGGACGAAGGAGTGGGAGCAGAGCTTGCACCTAAGAGACACAAGGCCAATCCAAGGAGGATCTTCTTAGAAATCATCTTGTAGGTAGAAGAGGGGAGGGAGTTTGACTGGATCGAAAGTGTACTTTTAGTGGCTCAAACGAGATAGAACCGATATTGACTATTCTCCTTGATGGGAAGCAATTCATGATGGCATACTTATACCTTGATCTTCAGCTACCCTCACAGTGTTCAAGATCAAACCCTTCCTCCTCGAATACGTGGCCTGCATATGCATGTTAGTTCACGAAAACAATTATTCTGCCTTGCAGGGTTACTGAGACATCGTTGCCGGTACGCGAGCTGTCAATGTAACACGCCTATCTCTGAAGTTGCTCCCTTGACCATGTCCCCTGAGGCGCTGTAGCATCACGGCAAAACTTCGGCACAAATATTGGACTGTCTGTGCGGAGGTCCGCCGGGGCAGCTTTCATGCCAGGGAAATGGTGCAAGCAAAGCAGTCACTGCACGCAATCGAGATTGAGTCTTCTCTATTAGAGCTCTTGCGATTCGTGGGATTTTTTTCGGGGCAGGCGGAGATCGTGCAGGCAAAAATTTTGGTTTTCTTGGCAATGCTTCGCTTTGGAACCCACTTGGGATGTTGATCATGTACCGTATGTAATAATTGCTCGTATTTTCCATTTTAGGTTATTTTATCTTGTATTTTGCAAATTTCTATATGTACTAATCTATTGAATGTATCTTCAACCCCATCTCTCCTTCTCATGCGTCGAACCTACACATTTCTATCATCTTGATTTCCTATCCTAGCCCTGTAACCACGACATATCCGTTGATCATTCAATTATTTTGTGTATCGATTTGCAAATCCAATCCTCCCCCAAGCGTGCATCCTCAGCGTTTCCAATGAAGCTTCCCAAACAGATCAAAAGTATTTCAGCTAAAGTCAGCTGGATACGATTCTGGCAACAAAGTGAGGAATATTCCTCAATTCTTACCGATGATTTGGTTGACGGACATCAATGGGAAAAAGCGACCAAGAGGTTCCGGGTGAAGCGTTATTTGCCATTTATCGTGTCGGGAATACCTATTCTTACTTTGACTGGCCTGTTGATCTATGCAGCAGGAAATCTTTTTCACACATGGGATGTGACAAAACTAGGCCAAAAAGTGGTTTTAACTGCGAATCCTTTTCAACCTGCCAAAGCATGTAAGGAGCCGTCCGTGCGACAGGAATGGCGCACGTTGACTACGGCTGAGCAGCAACACTATATTCAGGCAGTGAAATGCCTCATGCAGCGGCCTTCAAAGATTCGCACAAATGGGACCCTGTACGATGATTTTCCTTGGATCCATACAACCTCGGGCTCGGCCAGTATGCTAATTTCTTATTTCTACGTGAATACTCGTTACTTTGAAACAATCTGTTGCTAATAAGCGTGAAATAATGCCCAGCCCATCACTCGGCCGCTTTTCTATCGTGGCATCGATACTTCATCCACACTTATGAGAATACACTCAAAATTGAATGTGGATATCATGGAGCATTAGCGTGAGTAGGCAACACCATCAAGATATAATGGCCAAACTGATCTCTCACATTTTTAAACTTCAGGTATTGGGACTGGTCTCTGGACTGGGCTAACCTGACTGGGTCTCCTGTCTGGAGTCCTGAGACTGGCTTTGGGGGGGGACGGGCTTGTGAATGGTGAGGAGGGGGTTGGCGAAGGAAGGTGTGTCACAGATGGGCCTTTTGCTGGACACACCAACCTGTTTTATGGGGCCAAGAGCCGGCCTCACTGTCTCTCACGAGGGTTCACTGATGGCCACGGCCACAACGGCTCTATCTCCGGAGATGGAGTTCATCCCGAACAATTAGAAGATATCCTCTCACAGGAAGACTTCGAATCCTTCTTCTGGGCGTTAGAGAAGGGCCCACATGATCTGATTCCAAACGGTGTCCGAGGGGATTTTTTTCAGCTTCACAGCTCCATATGGTTAGTCGCTGCTAATTTATGTTTTTTCTTGGTGCCCCGTGAGGGAGGTGATAATGGCTCGCCTGACTCCTTGTTCTAGATCCAGTCTTCTACCTCCATCACACTCAGCTGGACCGTCTGTGGTGGCTGTGGCAGGAGCGCAGTCCGCGGCAAAGACATTTCGAATATACCGGTCCTAAAGCCATGGGTAGTGATCAAAAAGCGAGCGTTTATGATCTGCTGCCAATGTCGGATTTCGTGGAACCACTGCGGGTGATGGACATCATGAATACTGAATCGGACTTTCTGTGCTATAGGTATACCGAGTGAGATATATTTCTCTTTACATCTCATAGCTCGCTGGAGAATCTCCTACTATGTATGTAGGTCCATACTAGTTAACATATATACATATGTCAACGGTAAATCTTTCATGAAATGGTCCCTGGCCTTTCTAGGTCTATTAGAAGAACTTCAATTCCCGGGTAGTTAATTGTATACAAGCAAATTAAAACAGCAAGCCGTCGACTTTTACCCCCCGGTTTTCAATATTACGTAGTTCCTGCCAACGAGTCTACTGATGACAATTTATTTCTAACCAGAAACTCTAATATTTCTGAAATATTAGAACTGAAAAGAATTGTCGGATTCCATGGTCAGTCTATAGTTATACTACTAACAAACTAACAAATATGACGTGTCATAAAGATTTCTCGGCAAGAGGCAAACTTTGCATTGCAACTCATCTACCTAGGATGGGAATATACAATTCCAATATTAATTCTCTTATAATAATCAATTACCATGGGTATGATTATGCTCTACGCCTATTCCCTTATTACTGCCATCTGGGAATGCAGGACCTATATATGTTAGTTAATCAGGAACCCTGCACTAAGATGAAAGAAAACCTACCCAAGGTTGGATGTTGTAAGAAACCGGGCTTCATAACATCGATCGAGTGGTCGCGGGTCCACATACGCAACTTTTCCCAGTTGACACACTTGTGTGGAACCGAGAAGTCTGCTTCCGGAACAGGCGAGTGGGCACTCCACCGCATTGGGATCAGCGAGGTATCGGCATGGCACATAGCTGCTTGTCGGAGGATCTCCAAACAGTGATCTGAGAGCTTAATGTCAGTACTTTATTCATCATCACTTCTGGGCGATGTAGCTTCGGCGTACCGGTGTGCATGAAGTTCAGTTCTTCATCCTCGGGAGAAAGACTAGCAAAGTAAGTTTCTTTGTGAAAATACTGGTAGAGTCGTTTCTAACAAAAAAATGACAAATGTAAGTAAGACAGAACTGCTGTAAAACTTGCCACCATCTGGCAATTATACTCGACTTTGTTGGGATGAACCACATACAATGCAGTGCAATTCGTGAGTGACACTGAGATCGACCCAATAGGCATCATCCATGCCTGGAATTGGAATGGATGTTTTATTCACATTTTTTAGATCTGCTTCAGATACGATAATACTGGAATCTAGATGAGATATTTGGTTAGGCTTTTTTTTTCCTATGGCATTGTGTGGCAACACAGGGAAGAGTCTCACATTGGAGTAAATCTGACCAGGCATGGTCCAGTTCTGCACGAGGCTTGCCAGTAAATGGGCTTTTGATGATTAACGATGCGTTGTAGTATACATCTTCGTACGAGATGGCATCGTTCGCGGGTGCTGAATTGGGATTAGATAAAGAGTTCTTCATATCTGTAGCGTTTATCAGAAGTTCACTAACAAATAGTATATTGATCGGTCTGGCCTTTCAAGACGATGAACAAGAAGAGAAAAATGTTGAACGTAAAAAGCACCAGATGAGCCCACCATGACGCGAAGTGATACTTCCGTCGAGTTTGGTTAAGATAAACAGTGCCTTCATCGGAATTGGGGGGTTCTCTATCGAGGGAAGCTGTTCAAATCGAATCTCTTTCGAAGTAAGAAACTGTAGAAACCTCATCGTCACACTAAATCGGACAGATGGCCGAGTTTTGGCTACCGAGATTTGGAGATGAAGAGAAAAGGAGAAGAAGATGGTACTCGGAAACAAGACACACGGGAATGTGCCACGGAACGTATTAGTATATTACTAGTACGTCGAAGCGTATTTTTCAATGTCGCGTAACTTACCACGGGGTTCTTTTGTTCTTTTTAATTAGCCGTTCGCTAAGCCGATGTGACCCATACCGGGGTCGGGGACCAGGGTCTTCATGCAGGCACCCATGTGCATATAGTACGTTAGTGTTATCCCCGCCCAATACTTCACCAATGAATTCATTCAAAAATAGATATGCGGAAATAGTAGGTCAATTTTTCTACTTACTGGAGGTCTAGGCTACCGAAAGGGGCTTGTGTTAATGAATCTGATGTAACATTCACCCACATCATGATAGGGACACTATTACCATGCCTAGTAAAAGATGAGGGGTATCTCCGTTGGACCATGATACAGCCACCTCTCCAAAGAAATGGCTTTCTGACCCGGTGTCGCCTGTTACCCCCTTATCTAAATTTCTTATGACTGCTACATTCCAGTGTTCTGTATTCAATTTTCTCTTCTTCGTCTTACATCTCGAGAGCCTGAAAAATGATAAACATTGAGCACAAAGATCAAGAGGTTTCGCCTTTGGTTGATGATGAGTCGCCAAAGGTAAGTGAAGATTTCGAAGTTTACCAATCTTCCTATAAGAGGACAACATGGTTTTACCGCAATTGGAAAAGTATTGCCTTCAACTGTTCGACAACCCTCATTTTTGTAGCGCTATTGCTATTCAATCATGGAAGTCGCCTGGGAGTTTTGAGTAAACCGCATAGTTTGATTTACAGTATGTCTTTCCTCGCTTCCGCCCTTGAATCCAATTGATGCTAAATTGTCTGGAGCCCCGACAAGTGATTATCTGGAATACCAAAAGGTTCAGATGGACACCTCCGGCCGACATTTGAACAAGTACATGAGTACTCACCGAACGCCTGAAGTCGACAAAGCATGGCATGATATGATGGAATGTAAGTATTTTCCAGTCCCGTTATGGATCTAAGAGCCTACAAATAATGACTACCTCTTAGATAACAATGTGCGATTGACACCAGAGGAGATGTTGGCAATGAATCAGACATCAGTGGAGCTCGGGGATGGTGGATATTTGGCCATGCCAACCGTGTACCATGAGCTTCATTGTCTGGTAAGACCAGCCCCTCAATCATCAAGGTAGTTCTAACGGAGAATCAGAAACAAATTCGATGGGGCTATCATCGCGATGAGTACCAGGACAGATGGTCACAACAGGATTTGATTGATCTGGATGCCCATGTTGGTAAGTGTTCACTGGTAGCATGTGTATTCTTAATGAGAATGACCCAAGAATCTCATACCCACTGGCAGAACACTGTATCGATATTCTACGCCAAGCTACTATTTGCCGAGCAGATACCTCCATGATTACATATTGGTGGACGGATGTGAGCCGAGTTCCCGAGACCGACTTTTTCGGCTATCATCAGTGCGTGAATTGGGATCTCTTGATGACATGGTTCAAGGAGCGTTATGTCAATGTCTATGAGACCGGCATTTTAAACCATCCCAAATACGGTATGTCCACGGTCTATCGCAAACTAACGTCGGTGTACTTCTGACAAGTGAGACTAGGCCAAACCTACCCGAATGGACACAGAAAGGTCGAAGACGACCAAGGCCGGATCCCTGAAACCTTACCGTTCGTTCCGTTCGAGGGCCCTAGTCGACTGCCATAGTGCCTGATGTTTCTTATCTCATCAAAAGCGGTCCTTTCAGATCACCCTGATAGCGACGATAACAGCGGAAGTAGATGACCTCGAAGCACTGTATGCCGCCTCATCGGTAAGGGGTATCACCTCACTAGTGCAGAGCCAGTTTATCATATTATGTTAGTTTATTTCAATTTTAAATGATAAATCTTCCTAGTTGAAAGCCTTTTGACAATTTTAAAACCGCCTACGTATTGAAAATAAATCCCATTTTCTTGTGGAAAGGAGCCCTACCCTGGTGAAAGATGACATGGGGAGCGTTCCTTATGATAACTAGTTATTTAGTACTTACATGTTATAGTGGGAACGTTAACCAGTAGCCTCCTACATGTTGACATATACGGAAATAGAATGGTTTTGTTAGATGACCAAACACTCTATACTATTTACGATGGACCTCCCAGGAAATATCCAGAGAATTAGACACAACAATAAACACTATTCAAAAAACAATCCCGTTTACTACGGTTCTTCTTAGGATCCTCCTTACTACCCTTCGTTTGTTAGCTGGTAAGATGTACTGCTCGGAAATTGCTGCTCATATCCCTATATAATTGGACCTGTCTGTTCACCCAAACAGTTCGTCACAGCTTCCCATTATAATAGTGGTTCCGCTAGGGGAGGATGATCGTCCATAGTGCCTGAGATTAGGGATCTTGCGGTGCGGTAAATAAAAACAGATATGCAACAATGGAATGCGGTAACCCCCTTTAACCCTGAAAAGTGAGTCTCACAGAAGAGAAATGTAATATATCCGGTATTAACAGATCATGCCGACCGCTCTTAGTATAGATTGGTTGGAGTTTGATCGAGCAATTCCATCAAGCGTACGTGATACTAATTGGTTAGGTTTTAATTAAACGACCGTGGCAAAGCCTGCTTTCCGCAATCGAATGATATTAATTGCCACTCTACTCCGTAGTTATATTTACTGGCTGATTCAGTGTCTTACCTTTCGCTAAATATGGCGTTTCTTAGCGAATGCGGGATCTGCGTCTGCTATCTACGGCCACATTACCGTACCCGATGACTTGATCCTACCGACGACAACCTCATCTATATATATGAGTATATTCTCCGCTTTATTCCCAGCTTCCACTCCCTGAAACAATCAGTTGGGTGTAAATAGCCGCTTATATCCCTTTAGATTTCAACATTTTCAGACACCAAAAGTTGAAAGGGATTATCCGCCCCGTCCCGTCCCGTCCCGTCCCGTCTTATGGGCGGGGAATTTGTTTTTTTTTTTTTTTTTATCGGGCAAACTAACCCCTAACCCCGACGCTAAGGTAGTATAATTAAACACGGTGTGGGTAGGAAGCTACCACCCTAGTTAGTTTGCAGGGATCTTTAGGTCGTGAGCAGATAGCACCAGTGATTGGTTCATCCTTAAACCTGAATGGAAGATAACTGACAGATTTGTGATTGGATTGACACGATATGTATCCAAATAGCTTATTAGCTAGTCAGAATCTCGGTTAGCGTGTCCAAAACACGTGAACCTCAAATTAAATGGTTACCGTTCACCCCCTTTTACCTAACTAGCTTGTTAATATTTTCAGAGGACAGAATAGCTACAATGGAGACCTTCACTTTCCTGAATGATAGTGATTGCCTATCGGCGGATGACCAGTTCGGACCTCGTGTCAAGGCTCAGTGCCGCAACTTTGACTTTACCGTCGAATTCGAACAAAGCATTTTCTCCATTCTACCCTCATCGTTATTCATTTTATGTGCTGCTGCTCGCATTGTTCATCTTTATCATGCAAGGTATCGAGTCTCAGCGACGTCGCTTCGCTGGGTCAAGCAGGTAAGTCTCTTGCCCAGCATCGGGCAATAAAATTGCGCATGTTAACGTCCAGCTAGTCACTCGGGGCGATTCTGGGCATCTTGCAGCTGTGTTTGCTTGTGTTATCCATTACACTGGGAAGTAACAGCCGGCCGAGTTCAATTGCCTCCTTATCCCTTTCTGTAGCAGATGTACTTTTGATATGCGTGCTCTCTCACCTGGAACACACCAAAACCATTCGTCCATCTAGTCTCCTGCTCACCTACCTCTCTACATCAGTCTTGCTTGATGCAACATCTCTTCGGACCCTCTGGCTACTCAAGTCTGAAAAGCTTGTACTTAAAATTGTTTCGTCGTCGAGTCTTGCCGTAAAGCTGGCTTTGTTGACTGTCGAATCTTCAAGGAAGGCAAAATACTTCATCAACAAGGAGGATAAAACTCGGTCGCCGGAAGAAACTGGTGGGATATTCAGCAATGGTCTTTTTTCTTGGCTTCTTCCATTCCTTTGGACCGGCTTCAAGAATGTCCTCACACTGAGTGATCTTAACCAGTTGCCGAAAAGCTGTACTGTTACGAACATGGAGTCACAATTTACACAGATCTTCGAAAAAGAGAAAGCACATCGACACAGTCTTGTGAGGACAATCCTTAAATCCTTCTGGCACAGGCTGATGTGCCCAGTTATCCCGCGATTGTGTGTTTTGACATTCACCTTACTTCAACCAATTCTAATGCTCAAGCTTCTTCGGTGGCTGGAAGACACATCAGCAGAAGATCTCGGCTATGGTATATTGGGTGGATACGGCATTATTTACATCGGTCTAGCAATTGCAACTGGCGCCTACTGGCGCTTTCAGCTGCAATTCATCACCCTGCTTCGCGGTGTCCTCCTCTCTGCTGTCTTCCAAAAAACCCTTTCAATCCATCCAATGGATGCGAAAAAGACACCCGTGTCACTTGTCAGCACAGATATTGAAATGGCATGTACGGGGCTGGATCAGCTGCACGAACTGTATTCAAGTTTGCTTCAAATTGGGATCGGGACCTGGCTCCTGGAGCAGCAGGTAGGGGTAGCTTGTATAGCTCCTATGATTGTCGCGGCTGTTTGTGCGGTGGCCACCTATAAGATATCCCAGCGCGTTGGGATATGTCAGAAGGGATGGCTAGAAAGTGTCCAGACACGTCTAAGTAAGTCATGATCAAGGTGGTTAATCTCCATCTGGCATCTCTGATCTCGTCTTGCGTATCGCCATAGATGCTACCACGTCAATGTTATCGAACATGAAGATCATTCAGATGTCCGGATTAGGTAGACCTATCTTCGATATGATCTTCAAATTTCGAGATGCCGAGCTGGATTCTGCCAAGAGCTATCGAGGCTTACTTGTGTGGGTCATGGGTTTAGGTGAGCATGAGCTCCACCCTGGGCAAATTCACAGAGTACTGGTTTGACGATTTGCATAAGCATATGCTCCATCCGCGATATCTCCCGTTATTACCCTGGTGATCTATGCTGCCACTCAACATAATATTTGGGACAGTTCCAGTACTGCCAGAATATTCACAGCTTTGTCGCTAATTGGCCTTGTCACATCGCCTCTTGCGGCTGTTTTTCAACAAATACCTGCTATCATCGCAGCTTTTAGCTGTCTAAATCGGGTGGAGAACTTCCTCAAACAGCCAAATATGACGGATCGGAAAGCCATCATGGACAGAGAATCTGAGACACAGCTCACAATGGGCCCAGAAAAACAACCAATTGCTTTGAGTATTCCCTTGGTGGAATACCAAAGCAATTCAAAGCCTCACTTTGCATTCACATCTCACAATGCAACCTTTTCTTACCCAGGTTCTTCTTTCCCTACCCTCCAGAGCTTGACTATCAATATCCCGTGGTCCAAGGTGACTTTGGTAATGGGGCCGACCGGTAGTGGAAAGTCAGCTTTAGTGAAGGCAATACTTGGTGAATTGAATATTTCTCAAGGGGTCTCCACTAGAGGGTTCGATTGCTGTGCTTACTGTGATCAAACGCCGTGGATCGGCAATCAATCTATCCGAGCTAATATTGCCGGCCACCTCGAAGATTATCAAAAGAGATTATACGATGAAACGGTTTGGGCTTGTGAATTGGAACGTGACCTCGAGTCTATGCTGGAGCATGATCTTACCAATGTTGGAAGTGGTGGCGCTACACTGAGTGGAGGACAGAAGCAGAGGATCGTATGTGCAATTATTGACAACATGGCTCTACTAAGAATGCAGGACTCACATTCTTGATGCAAATAGTCTCTAGCACGGGCCGCATATTCTCAGCAAAAAGTTATCATACTGGATGATAGTTTCTGTGCCCTTGATTCTCGAACCGAGCAAACCGTCGTTCGACGTCTCCTGGGCCCAAATGGTTTGATGAGAAGTAATGACCAGACTGTGGTTATTACTTCAAGCACAGGTACGTCCAGTCATGGTTCTATAGTCACTTGATTAACAACATGTGAACTATAGACCGCTTGGTGCCTTATGCCGACTTTTTAATCATTCTCGATGATAATGGAGCCTTAAAAGCGCATGGACCAATGCGACAAATGTCACATCTGCTTCCTGATAGTCTCAGCGCTGTCGAAGAAGAGAAATTTGAACCTACATTAGAGGGCACCTCCCCATTGGAGCCTGTCGCATCGAAAGAGCTATCGACGCAATCCAAGAGCAATGACCTTGAAATCTCTTCAGCGAAAGGATCACCTTATAGATCGTATTTCAAATCTATAGGTCTCTGCAAGGGATTGACTCTGGGTGCACTACTCACTCTTCAGACCTTCTTCTCCAAATTTCCGAGTCTGTTGGGTCCTATTCCCCAAATATGAGACAGAATAACTTACAAAGATATAGCTGTGTGGCTCCAGTGGTGGCTCGATGGTAACTCGCAGGAGATGGGACGGCTATATGCAAGGTATATCGGGATATACAGTGTCTTCCAAGCTCTGGGTTTGAGTTTTACGTTGGTTGCTGCGTTGTGAGTATATTTAACAACGGGATACTGAGGATCGTGTCTAACGAAACATTTAGCCAGCAGTTTCGAGTCACTATGCCCCACGCGAGTCGCTATTTCCATACGCGTCTCCTAAGCGCGGTGATGTCGTAAGAACCTGTACTCCACATCATTTTCAAAATTCGAGCTAATGGCAACATTTGAACAGTCTCCCCTTTCCCTGTTTCAGCATAATGAGCACAGGGTCCATTGCAAACCGGTAAGATATGTTCCTTCGTGTCTCCTTCCTGTCCTTGACTATACGGTTGGGGATAAGGGACAGATGGATTCCCTTCGCTACCGCTCATCCATTGGCTTAATCAAAACTAACATCCAGAGTAGTTTCAGCCAAGATTTACAGTTGGTTGACTGGACACTGCCTTTGACTTTTCTCAACGCGTCTGAGGGTAAGTTATTGAATGCTAGATCCAGATGTGCAGCAAATAACTGACCAGTCCAGGTGCATTGGGGACACTGGCTCAAGTATTAATCATTTCCAGGTACGGGCTGCGACTTGCGCTATGAGAGTATCAACATCCACTAACCTTCTCTAGTGCTTCTCCTTATCTCCTCATAGCGTTCCCGTTCATATTCGCCACCGTCATTGCTGTCCAGCGGTTCTATCTTCGCACATCACGGCAACTACGTTCTATGGATATTGAGGCTAAATCTCCCCTCCTGTATGCCTCAGCCCTCTCACAACGTTCTAACCCAATCCACATCTAACTGAGTGCAGAAACCACTTTTTAGAAACTATTGACGGCCTTCAGACGATTCGTGCATTTGGCTGGCAGCATAGGACACAAGCAGTATACCAAAGCCACCTCAGCGCATCACAGCGACCATACTACCAGCGCTTTATGCTGCAACGCTGGCTTACCCTAGTACTGGACATGATTGCTGCGGGATTGGCGGTCCTCGTTGTGGGTACTGCGATCGCCCTACGCACGCGCTCAGCATTGATCGGCCTTGCCCTTGTAAATGTGATTTCGTTAAGTGAGAGTCTACAGCTCCTGGTACTTCAGTGGGCAGTCATGGAAATTTCTCTAGGATCTATAAGTCGGCTGGAGGCTTTTAATCATCATGCTATGGCTGCACAGTCGGAGGCTTCTTCCAAGGACTCCCTTACTACGCTGCCCCAGTCTCAATCGTCCTGGCCCACACAGGGACACATCGAGATCACGCATTTGACCGCTAGGTATACGGCCGATGGCCCTGCAGCTCTGCAAGACATTTCTTTTACAATCCCGCCTGGCGCAAAACTTGGCATTTGTGGCCGCACGGGTAGTGGGAAGAGCACACTCTTGGCGACGCTATTCGGCATGGTGTCCGTCACAGACGGCACCGTGACAATCGATGGGCTGAACCTTGCTCATCTGCATCCAGATACCCTACGCGCTGCGCTCATTGGTATTGCCCAAGAAAGCTACATTGTCCCCGGGCTGACTGTGCGTGAAAACCTTCTGCTGGGGTGTCAGCGGCAGCAGCAGGATCTGTGCGACGATGATATCCAGCTCATTGATGCTCTGCAGACTGTACAGCTGTGGGACGCGATCGAGGAACGTGGAGGGCTATCTGCCGTGCTTGACGACCAAAGCCAGAGCTTATCCGCAGGGCAGAGTCAACTATTTGCATGCGCGCGTGCCCTCCTTCGTACGGGCTCTGTTGTTGTCCTAGATGAGCCGACGAGCCATCTCACGGTGGAAACGACGAAGGTGGTCCGACGGGTCATTACGGACAATTTTCGGGAACGGACGGTGATAGTTGTGATGCATGATATCCAATCCATTTTGGACTTGGATCTTGTTGTGGTACTGGAGGAAGGTCGGGTCGTGCAGATGGGCACACCAGAAGAGTTACGTGAACAAGACGGCATATTTGGGACAATGCTGGATTCTACGTGAAGGTATCAGATGGAAATCCTAGTGTCGCTTTTGTCGTGTACTGGAAGAAATGTAAGATGAAGGAAATATGTTTCTGGCTGGCTTTGCGTGATAACTTGTATGCGTGCTTTTGACGCATGGCGCATGTTTCCGGCGGCATGTCAGGGCTTCAGTTTTGTTCATGACTCGTCGCAACAGCATCAAATAGCCCTTGATGGCAGGTTGTCCACCTAGTGAGCTTGAATATATACATGTACATCCATGGTATAGCCGGTAAATAAACTTCCACGGGTCCACGGTTCGATGGGTGGCATCTGGGCAGCTGGTCTCGAGTATTAGATAATAATGACGGGATCTACTCCGTATGTGGTTTAGTTCTCAGTCATACCCGTACCTTGCCAAAGTTGCATCGTATAGTAAATATAGCAACATTAGAATGTTTATTCTTTAACCATCCATCCATCAAGCCCAACCCCTTCTATACTCATCAAGATGACTTCACATCCACTAATTGCAGACCTCTGCAACTCGGTAGAGTCACTCGGAACCTCTGGGTCCGATACGATCAAGGTGTTGAAGAAAAGAAAAGTCAATGTCGAGCGCGACATTCTTTTTGCCCACAAAGAATGGAACCCTTCAGGTCTGTTTGACCAGAACTACTGGTCTCGAGCTGCAAAGATCGAGAGGTCGGGTTTAACGATTACGTAATACCCAGGGGAGTGCTCAGCTTTACTCAGTGAGCAAAAAGCGGCAAGGAGTGAGCACTAAAACGGAAAGGGAAAGCCATATCGCGCGGCCTAAAATCCGGTGTGTATGTACATGGTTCCCTATGCAAAGCATGTGACAATGTAGATTGTGACTATCCAAATTTTTCGACGAAGGGTCAATCGGCATTCCAAACTCTCCTCGCCGGCACTAGCCCATTCTACCTTCCTCTATACCACCTGGCTCACTCCTTGGGAAATGTAACGAAATCCCATTGTTTGCCGCCTTTGATCAGCTTCCGGTCCAATCCATCAGTTCCACGGCTCACATAGAGTACCTTGGTGAAGAAGACATCGCTCCAGTAGCTGTAAGACACGTTTCCGGGGATGAAGGCCACATCACCCGTGGTCAAAGTTGCAGTTGGGTAGTTCCCAATCTTTATTTTGAGGATTCCTTCAACAACCTGGAATGCGCTGGAGCCAGACTGGCGGTAAACTGGTGCGGTGATATTGCTTTGCAATCTGGAAATCGTGATCGTGGACTGAGTGAAATTGACATCCTGAGCCTGAGTGGGTGTGACAAGCGGTTGCACAATTTGGTACCCATATTGAGAGTTGAGATACTTTTGCCCATACCCATTGGCAATGAAATATGGTGTAGCGGGAGCTCCCAATGAGTTCGAGCCAGTGTGCCATTCGGTTCCAGAAGGTGCGGTTCCATTAATCAAATCGCGGCGAGGGACGAAATCCAGTTGCGAATAGACGTCAAACTGTTCAAGGGCGGAGATGGTGCTAGCATCGTTACCGCCAGAGGTCGAAGCATCGCTAGCTGCCGGAACATAAGGAGTGTTTGTTGACGAAGTGAAATTAGTGCCCAGTGCGTAGAACAAATCCCTATTCAAGTGTCAACTTTAAGGTTCACTACTGGCTTGTTTTCCCAGCTAGGGAATACGCGGTAACGGGTTGGTACTCACTCGAAGCCTCCGGGAACAATAGCACCGATCATTTCAGTATCTGGATCCAACACTTGGAAGGTATGGGTCGTATTACGAGGCACCGAGCCGTAATCTCCTTGAGACAAAAGACGAGCTTGTTGCCCACTATCTCCTTTCTCCGCCCACAGTTGAAAGCGGCCCTTCAAGTTATAGAAGTTTTCATAGTGCCTCTGGTGGATATGCGGTAGGACACCCAGTTCTGTGCTCACGGGAGCGCTTGTGCTCATCAGAGTGAAGGCATTGTCGGAGGATGGACCCGTTACCATGAATCTGTACACTTGGCTGCCAACGGAGACTGCATGAGAGTTCGCATAGTGCGGAATCACATATGGTCGAAGATAGTCGGGGGCGTTTTCAACATAGAGATCGGAAAGTGATCCCGTGCTGAGTTTGCCTGGAGAGGTCGAAGATTGACCATGGGGAATTCCAGCAGCAAAGGTTATAAAAATGGCCAAGAGAAAGTACATGGTGAAGTGTATTGCAGAGGATAGATTGATCACATTTAGGGAGGGAAGGTGGGTTTTATATAACTATAAAGGGACTGCAGAAGCCGGAATTTTGCCGTGATCGGGACCCGTGAGCCGCTAGATATATTCCCTAGTACGTTTTAATTATATTCGTAATTTGTCCTTGAAGTCACTGAATGCCTTTGGCCCACATAATTTGTCGCTGACTTGCCACATTCGTCTTCACTGAGCTGACTCAGCGGCATGAGGGTGGACTACGAATGCCGACTCGATTACTCGATATCTCGATATCCTCCAGGAGGGGCCAGAGTGACGCTAGATGTTAATTTTCACAATGTTAAAGTTCAGGATTGGATGCGCTTCGGAGATTTTGCTGATGGGTATCCCCCCCTTCCATATATTTTGGACCAGGGAATCATACAAAATACTGGAGGCGTGCTACCAATATGTCATGGCCCGGAAATTCCGACAGGGGGTTTCAGGGAAATATCGCCCCATCTAGCTTCAAACTGTCAAAACGAAGGTTGCCCAAAGATTACAAAAGTTCACAGAAGCAAAAAGATTACCCAGAAATTGCTACAGAACACTTACCAAATGGCTTGGATTGTTTACCCTCCCTAGTCAGAATTCTGTCAATGTGGAACCTACATCTATCTTTACACTAGTACAGTGAGATGAGTTTCTGCACCCCTAGCCCCACCCAGCTCACCGCCATGACAAATACATACCGCTTACATAACACGGTGACACTCACCATACTAAATTTGAATTCATGAGGTTTCTGACCGGCAGTATATTATATAATTATAGGGATGTGGGGCCAAAACATATATATCCACTAACTATAGAGTTAGCATTTTATTACATCCGCATACCGTGTTTTTGCTACTAAATCACTTGCAGATTGGTGTAGATAGTATACGCAATACACCACACTAGCGAAATTTAGCGTGGACTTGGCAGATACACATTGACAGAATTCTGCCTAGGGAGGGTAGTATGAAGTGTCAAGCCCATTTGATAGATTGTCTTTAAGTATCTGATTGTCGATCTCACCGGTGTTCGGCGCTTAGCTCTGCGACCTCGGGCCTTGATAAGCCCGATGCCGAAGCTCCCTGGAGCCTTCCTTTCTAAGGGGAACCGTAAATCGATGTTACCAACGTTAGGTTAATTGGTATGATCAGTGTGTGGATAAATGAATTGGATATCCTGATAACAAGAGATGAAATGATGAATATATTGATCTGAAATGCCCGAAGACCAACTACCAAAACCTGCCCAGCCAAATTTTAAAGTTAAAAGAATGATATTACGAAACCGCGTGAGAGCGACTGTCGGAGATTGAAGAAAGATTCCGAGCAGAAAGTCTAATAGGCCTCTAATGTCTCACTTTGCAGTATAACGGTATATATCTTCAGACAAGGCTATGAAATAAGGTGGGTGATACCAATGTCCCGCTATATAGACACCACTAGAGTACAAAGAGGGCATCGATCTATTAATGCGTGTACTGTGCTAGGACTGCTTGTGAGCTATAAATCAATGGGTAACATCAACTATGCCGTTGAATACTGGATGGAGCATATTCAAACAGTGATGATCTTTTTCGGCTTTCGGTGAAATAGACCCCGAATCCACCACCCATTTAGACCCACCACCTTCACTTAAGTTAGGGCTATTATAACATGTAAGTGTAACTGTTGGTTCCTTAGTGGGGCTTCCATAGGATCTAAACCGCACGTGTTGAAAAAGTTAATCTGTATACGTGATATAGCTAATCTAGACTATGATATCTGTCGAGAATGAAATTACCAAGTCTTTACAAACCGGAAAATCAATGGACCGTCATGATAACGGTACCATACAATAGTACATACATTGCTTAATCAGCTATGTCCGCACAAATTGAAAAAAGAGCGGAATTTGTCAATTTAGTTAGTTAACGTATTTCACCAGTGAATGGGCCACCAAAAACACCATAGTAAATGCGATATATTATAGCTTGATACCTGGACAACCGTGGTCTATAGGGACTTTGCCTTATAGTATACTACTTTATAGGTGATATCTAGTATAACTGGGGAGTTTGGGGAAAGTTCATATCTTTATGGCAGCGATATATATATTTCTAGAGTTTTAGAATGTAATTTTCGATAATTTTTGAAATGACAGTATTATAGTATTCTACTCTCTTTAAAATTAATATATAGTGCCAACAATCCTTATCAGTAGCTATCGACAAACGGGGAGATAGAATAAATATATAGTTGTTGAGATATAAATGTGGAATATATCGCATTTACTATGGTGTTTTGGGTGGCTCACTCACTAGTAGCAGCCCATTCACTGGTGAAATACGTTAGAGAATTTTACATATGTCATTTTTTACCATACATTGTCGTACCCGTCTATTTCTGATATAGCTACTCTAGACTATGATATCACCTGTACCTAGGTAGGCGTTCCGCAATTTAACCTTCCAAGGTTGACCCAACATGATTATGTAAAAGTAATTAGCCTTTTAAGCTATTGCGTATAGATAAGTCTTGGCATTGTAGCAGAATGACTCCACGTTTTTGGGCAGTCAAGATGTGGGGTCATGCAGGGTCAAAACTAACAACATCCCTGCAGAGTGCGGGTGCGGGGTGCGCGTGCTATTTTCTCACATCCGGGGTACTGAAGAAGCAAAGTGCTGAGTTTGTACGAGTCGTGTCAAATCGAGGGCTGCGATGAAATGTCTGTTTGTTTTTGGATGACTCGTATCAAATCGAGGGCTGCGGTGAAATGTCTATATGTTTTTGGATAACAGTGGAAATCATAGATTATCCTTGGGCGGAGCCTGCTTGTTTCATATAGTCTATCGTAAAATGATGATGAACTATGAACCTTGGAAGCACCTAAGTCTATACCTAATTTATGGGGATTAGTGCTGATCTCAAGAGTCTCGGAAAATCCGAGCGATGCGTTTTAGGTTTCGGTCAACCCGAGGGCAGACCGCAGTAGTTTTCAGATTGAGGAGCTAGAATGAATTCTCAGGGAAATTAGAACGGCAGTGGCGGTAGATCGAAACTAGCAATTTATGTAAAACTCCACGGGTGTGGTGGAGCGTACACAGATAAACCCTGAACTCGGTAGCGTAGTTGGTAAAAATGGAGGCCTGCGAGATATAAAATCTCGATCCCGCACGGACATTTTGTGAAAGAAAACAACAGCATCATTTTTGTTTCTCTGTCACCACTCCTTCATCATGCTCTGGAAGACAGCTGCTCTTGTGTCGATTTTTGCTTCTCGTGCCTGGGGCAAACCAAGCCGTCAGGTAGAGGCCTCCGATTATGTTGATTGGAAGACCTTCAAAGCAAATGGCGTGAACCTCGGAGGCTGGCTCGTCCAAGAACCCAACATCGATCCTACTTGGTGGAATACCTATTCTGGAGGGGCTTCAGACGAATGGACTTTCTGCAAGAACCTAGGCTCCCAATGTGGGCCAGTCTTGGAGGAGCGTTACGCGACCTGGATCACAACATCTGAGATCGACAAGCTAGCCCGCTCAGGAATCACATTGTTACGGATTCCTACCACCTATTCGGCATGGATCCAACTCCCGGGCTCCCAGCTTTACTCGGGCAACCAGACTTCATACCTGAATGACATCGCCACATACGCCATTGAAAAGCATGGAATGCATATTATTGTCGATGTGCATGGGCTTCCTGGTGGCATCAATGGACATACCATGGGCGAAGCTGAGGGTCATTGGGGTTGGTTCCATAATCAGACCAATTTCGACTACTCGATGCAAGTCATTGACGCTATGATTTCATTCATCCAAAACTCCGGTCACCCAGAGTCTTACACTCTCGAACCGATCAACGAACCAACCGATAACCGAAACCAGGCGGTTTTTGGAACCCCTGCTGCTCTTTCTGATAAGGGCGCCGCGTGGATCTTGAAGTATATCCATGCTGTGCTTGATCGTGTGGCTAGTGTGAATAGCAAAATTCCGGTCATGTTCCAGGGAAGTTTCAAGAACGAGAAGTATTGGTCCGGCAACTTCACTGGCCACGAGAATCTGATTTTCGACGTGCACAACTACTACTTCGCCGGCCGAAACACCACCTCTTTAAATCTTCCATCGTTCTTGCATTCCGATGCCAGGACGATGACTGGTGACAAGAAGTTCCCCGTATTTGTTGGAGAATGGTCTATCCAAGCTTTGTACAACAATACATTTTCACTGCGTGCGCAAAATCTGAACTATGGATTGAAGGCTTTCCACCACTATGGCCAGGGCTCATCCTACTGGTCTTGGAAGTTCGGTGGAAATGATACTATTGGGGGACAGGGGACTCAGGGCGATTATTGGAACTATGAGTATTTCGTCGACAATGGACACACCAGCGATAACTGAGTGTTGTAAGATAGCTTGTACAAAGCATACCATACAATACCACATGTTGTCGTACCGCCAGATTTCCGCCATCTTAAATTGCTTCTTTCTTCTCTTTTTAATAGCTAGTAAATAGACATAGTTCGCGAAAATTTCAGTAGCCAGAAAAGTTAGAGCTCATCATTACAGTCTTGTATCGCCGAAGACAGAGAAGGACAGACGTTACACACGCAGCTGCTCATTGTACGGTATTAAAGACAAATAATTCCTTGTATAGCCTAGGTTGACCTCGAATTTTAGGAAGAAATATAGTTCTTATCCATGACGGTATCAACTAGAAGTATGTATCCTTCATAAGATATTGCATTCCAACACAATACAATACTGAATTCCTCTCAACCACAAAATAGACATATATTCGTTTTAAAAGGGCACTCAAGACCACCGTCGCCTCGCCACCGAAGCCGAAGCTGAAGGTCTCACCGTCGAAGAAGGAAGCGCCACAGAAGACTGCGTATGCGTAGCACTAGCCGGACCGTGACTCCCAGCACCCGGTTTGATCCTCTCCTCACCAGTCGCAATCTCCCAACCATTCAAAGTACGATTGAACAGCTGCAACGATGCTGCAGGATGATAAAACGGCACCATATGACCGGCATCATAGACGCGAGTAAACGAGAAATTACCATATTCGCGAGTCACACCGTACTCCTTCCCATCCACAACAAATGGTGTGTATCCAGCGGAGCGGAACTGTTTTGAATGTTCGTATTCCGTCGCGAGGGAGACTGCCTCGCCACCAAACCAATTACAGACATAGTCTGCGTCACCGTAGATCAGTGCAACGCGTACAGGTCGTGAGAGGATGGCTTCTAGGTCTTCAAGGAAATTGGGGTATGCGAAGTCTCCGGTTTGTGTGAATGAGTAGAGGATATCGGCGTTGGAGTTGGTGTAGTTTACGTCGACACCGATGGCGTCTAGTACGGAAGCTTGGTTGAGGTATTCAAGGTAGTATTTTGGAGGGGTTGGGTCGTTGGTAGGGTGACGGATATCGTAGCTTCCACGTCCGCTGAGGAAATGGTACGGACCCTCTGTAGGAAAGTGTGAGAAAGCTATGAAAAGAAAGGAAAGAGCGATGTGAGTCGAGACATACCAACGTTATCGCGACACATGTTTGTAGCCTCGGAACAAAGCGAGAGGTCTGCGATTGAAGCTCGTTTCGTGGCTTTGCACACTGCGATCAAAGTCTGGCAGCCCTTTGGCATTTCATTAGCGAATTTCATGTAATTGTATACCGTGTCGTTAACCTATGCATGATTCTTTTGTAAGCGGATGTCTCACTTGAACTATATGAGCCCTTACACTTTGGATTCCATAGGTGTTGTTGACGGCAAATTCGGGATAGAAACTCGATTGGATACCCAGGTCGATGAGGCCATTGATTATCCCAAGGGTATTGAACTCGAGCTGAACACCGTCGATGGTACCGTTTGCAATCTTCTGGTTTTCTTCATAGAAGTGGTCGAAGAACTATACTAGTCAGATAGGTAAAGTATCATTCCAAGTTGGTCACACTTACAGCAGGACCCCAATGACTGAACGCAACAAGAAAGATGTTAGATCAGGCTTCCGCTGTACTGTTCAAGATAAACTTACCCTCCATAGCTCTCAGTCCAGAGGTTAAAACTTCGCGAGTTGATCTTTGAGTCAATTTTTGGTAGACCAGAAAGGAACCCTTGAACTACCTCCCAAGTGGCTTCAGCGGCGAGATCGGTCGTAGCTTGACAATATTAGATAGCGGGCCATGGGATCAAAACTGGATCACTTACTGATATCTGAAGCGTCTATCACGGGGTAGCGGCCGACGACATCCCCATAAGAAGCATTCTTATAAGATCCGGTAATAGGGTCAAAAGAGCCCGGTGCTTTCTCGGCATACGAGAACCCTGTGTAGCAATATTAGCGAAGTGATTCCTTGAGATTTAAACAGGGAATATGAATCATACCGACACCCACGGGCTGGGATATAAAGAGAACATTCGAAAGTTCATTCCACGAGTGGGGATTAAGGTATGTCTCCAGCTCCTCGTTGATAAAACATGGTCCTAGTTCTATACTCAATTAGCTTAGCTTCCCATATATTCAAGTACGATATACCTTGGAACAATCCAATCAAAGAGTCACTACCAGGTCCCCCATTAAGCCACAGGGTAATCGGTGCATTCTCTGGTTCATGCCGGGCCTCAAAGAACCAGAAGAAAGTATGCGAGTCTGGTGCAAGATCCACATAGCCCGAGTACGACTTGACACCTTTGGTAGTCTCGCAGATATTAGGCTCCTTGTAGCGAATAGTAACATTATTTCCAGTCTGGATGGTCTTCACACCCGTGGGTTCATCGGGCAGCTGGCGGCGGTTGAAGAAATTCAGATCCGGGTTTGATGCCTCGCTTGTTCCAAGAAGTGGGAGCAAAAGCGGGATCCAAGCTGTTAAGTACATCTTGTTTCGGTGGATTGGGTGCTGGGTGAGTCGGATGTGATGGAAACAAATAGGTTGACCTACATTGTCTACTTATATATTCGTCTCCAATAAGCCAAAGACGCCATTGAGTCAGGCTGAAATAAAGCCCAGCTAATGAATTAGCAGTGATTGTCGCATACGAGAAGGGAGTATGGCGGTGTCTGAATAGCTGAAAATGAAAATCGATGTTGAAGTATAATAAGTGCCAACGCCGCTCTTGGCTGGCGATCCATAACCTAATCGGGTAATATCGTGCGCCGGCCCCATGGAGGCGATGCGAATAAGCCACGATGCCAAGATTATGGGCTGCATGTTGATTGATCCCAGATTTAGAATAACTATGCGCCAGATGTAATATGGGCTTAGTGAACGTTTTAAATTAGACTAGGAGGCTTAGATGTTAGAGTTCTTGTACTTTGAAGGGGCGTGAATGTTTTTTTGAACGGAAGTACAATATTTGAGGCACGATATGTATTTCTTATGCCGGGCAGATATTTCCTCGCTCCAGAGCCCAATACGTGGCGTGCTTGGCTCAAATACCAATGAACTATACGGAGACGGACTCTGCCAAGCTGCTCATTGGAAGGTATCAACTGTCATTTGATAGATACAACGGAACAAAGATCGCACCAAGTGAAGATTTCATTATTTCGATATAATCAATCCTTGAATGTTACTGGGATACCCAAATACTCAACCATCTTGTCCCTGGCACGCTCAACCTGATCCTGCACATCGAGATCCCAAAGCCACTTCAGACGTTGATTAAGCGTTTCCTTCAGTTTCACCGGATCATCGCGAACCCCATCAAAACATAGACAAAAGATATCCGCATTCTCCTTACTGCTAGTAACAACCCTCTGGCTCCGAGGCCGACGAATATCATCGTATGCCTTGAAAGCCGCAACAACATGGTCAGCAGAGCTAATACGGGAATCACTCAATAGTTCCGCGAGAACATGTGCATCCTCAATAGCCTGACCAGCTCCAGCACCCTGGTGCGGCGTAGATGCATGCGCCGCATCGCCGAGTATAGCTACCTTGGAGCGAGTGTAGGTTGAGATATGTGGGTGCTCGAAGATGGCCCATTGAGAAGGGTCAGGCATACGCTAAGACACAAGGTAAGTAACTCGACACCCAGAAAAAAAGAAACTAGAATGGTAAAACATACCTCAACAAGGGCCTTCACATACCGCCCCATATCCCTCGTATCCCGTTCAATATCCTCCCTCCTCGCAGGCCTAACCCAAGAATCATATCCCCAATCCTCATCACTCAAAACGTAAATCCCAACATTGACCAATCGAGCCCGCATAATAGGATACGAAATAGCATAAACGCCTCGTCCAACATAAATCGTCGCAACACGCGCCCTCTTCTCCCCAACCGCCTCAATCATATCCCCCATCTCCAAAACCGCCCGATACCCATACATCCCACTATAAACAGGCTTCGTGCGCAACGATTCAATCGGAATCATACACTCCTTGACTCTCGACCGAATACCATCACAACCAACAACAACATCAGCATTAACAACTTCCCCATCCTCAAACCCCAACACGACCCCATTCTCATTCTCAACAAGACTACTCAACCTCTTCCCGAAATGCACGATGTCAGCAGGGACAAGCTCAACAAGCGCATTTAAGAAATCGGCTCTTCGCAGCGCCGTCTGGCCGGATGGTAATGCTTTCAGATCCATTAGGACATCACCTTCTTGTGCGCCTGTTGCCCAGACGAGCTCGAACCAGGTTTGGAGGTATTCTTCGTAGCCTGGACTGTCTGCGTGGGTTGTTATGAGGGAGTTGTAGATTTTTTGGATGGAGGGGTGGATTAGGGGTATTGCGCGGTAGGCTGCTGGGCCTAGGGAGATTCCTAGGCCAATTTCTTTGAAGGTTGGGGCTGCTTCGTAGATTTGGACTGGGATTTTGCGGAGGTGGAGGCCGGCTGCGAGGGTTAGGCCGCCTATTCCGCCACCGATTATTGTTATTGTTGGTTTGGGTGACATGTTTGGTGATTGGAGTTGGGATGGGATGGGATAGGATTAGATTGATGATTGGGGTTCGAGTTTAAATAGTTTTCTTTATTTGTCAGATACTTTTACTGATTGTATGTCGATAAGGCTGCGGGGTGTAGTGTATGCATGCATCAAGCAGCCACATGGGCGTATGTGGTGGCATGGAACCCCGGTGATTAGTACGACAATGACTGTTTGTCCGACGTCGGGGAGTCAGACAGAGGGGTACAAACCTACAAATACGGGAGCTTTGGAATGGAAGATGGGTGATTGGACAGGCGTCAGCGAAGTGGGCTATCAGGCATCCCGCGGTGGTCCTTGATCTGCACTGTTAGCGGCGTGGGTATAGTTTGCTGAGAAATGCACGGCATGGATAAGGCGTCCTACATCGTGGGGTACGCATTGATATCCACGGTAGTTACAGGGATCGTCTTGAATAGAGAAATATAGTATATTGACATTAAAGTTGGTAGGGTACGAGATAGCGCCAATCGTCACAAATTGTGCGTTTGCATGTGCAACTCTAAATCTGTCATATCTGTCCCTTTCCATGAGACGAGAGAGCGGACATGCACTTCACATGTAGCTCAGCGCAGTGGCCTTGGTCAAAGTCGCGATCCTGTCGCGGGGATGCCCCTGGGAATCCGAAATGGTGCATTGACATGTGTAAAAGAATCGACAAGCCTAGGGTACATACCCATTTAGGCAGTCTAGAATATATGGAGAAAAAAATGAAACCCGCTAGAAAGAATACGGTAGAAAAAAAATTGCATATTGTGCAACATAAAAATGAAATCAAATCATAGGGGCGGTGACAACCCGCTGACGCTCCCACTTCGGAGGACCGAACGGATCATCACGGGAATAGATATCTGACCGATCCCAATCGGAGTCGGTGTCATCAATACCGGTGCGCTTATCATCTGATCTCAGCGCTGAAGAGTTATCAGAGTCATCTAGTGCGCGACGGAAGCGCAGGAACTGCTGCGACTGCGTGGAATGCGCGGGCTGCACCATGCCCACACTTATACCCGACTGCATGGACCCAAGAGCTGCGCGCTGCAGATCACGGATGTCATCGCGCAAACTGCCGACTTGTGTCTCGAGGTTTCTGCGGGCCGTTTGTTCACGACGCAGGAGCGTAACTAGCGTGCTGTATTGCTCGATTGAAACGCCTTGGTAGTCAGACAGGGATGAGGCGGATGGGGCGGGGCGGAGGGTGCGCGGGGCCATTGTGTCTGCGCGGATTGTGTTTGTGCTGGAGGGGCGGGTGGAGACGTTTGGGAGGGGGCTTGGGGAATCGTCACGGTCGATTGAGGATAAGAATGCGGTGGGTTTGTTGCGCATGTGAGGAGGGAAGGAGTCTGCTGAAGGAGGGTGTCGGGGGCGTGATGGTTTTTCGGTGGGGTTTTCGGGGCCGTTGGTTTGCATTCGCGCAATGGCGAATTCCAAATCAATTAGTTTCACTTCGAGTGTAGTCAACCGCTGTTCCAGGGTGACGCTGTCATCTTGCTGCATCGTGTTGACTAGACTTGCGAGGTTCGATGGGAGGCTGGGTTGTTGTGGTGCTGGGTCGACTTCCATCAAAGATGGTTCGGCGGACATTCGGGTCACACTGGTTACCGTTGTCCCCGATGAGGGCCGCCCCGAGTGTCCACTATTAGAGCTTTCATCTAACGGCGGGGATTGCGAGTCAGGAACCGAAGCTGGCCTAGGCGCGGATGATGTGCGCTGTGGCCAAGCTGTCATGATCTCTGGCACGTTATCTGTCATTTCGCGCAATGCATCTGTGCTCCTTGATAGGCGGTGGGAGAGCAAGCTGTGTCTGCGCTCTGGGATATGGCTCCTATCCTCTTGCGGATCGGATACTGCTATTGACGCCACGGCAAACCGTGATTCATCGTCTGAAAAAACCACGCTAGGAAGAGTCGCTCGTCTTCGGCGTGGCTGCATGCTACCCGGCATTGAATCGCGCAGCGTTGCAGAGGAAAGGGGAGATAGTGGAGACAGAAGCGGAGACAGATGTGTTTCTGCGAGCTGCAGGTTCTCCGCCGAGAGTGGACTGCCCCGGTGTGAATTCAAATTCAGAGGAGGCGGAACCGCCAACAATGCTTTTCCCTTCGCTGGTCCTGATTTTCGCATCGGTGGCATCGCAAAAGTGGATTCGTATGGGTTCTCCTCCAGTTCATCGGCCTGACTTTGTCTTTTGCGGTTGAAGATCTTGCGCATGACCGTTTTCAAGGTGCTCCCCGTTCGGCGATGGGCAATAGACGGCTGGGAGTGGCATTGCGAGTGGAATTCCATTGATGGCAGCGCCGTATCATCATTGTCTCCCATGTAAGATGCAGGGTTCGAGCCGGAGCGCTCTTCGCGGGGAGAAGATCGTTGTGGAATACTCCGAACAGACTCGCTGCCAGCGCTCGCTATGGATTGTGGTTGTCTTGACATGGCGACGGGGTATTGAAAGTCGCAATGGACAACTAGTGGGCATAGAAGGTACGGGTAAGATATCGAGTCTGATCATTACAAGCAATATGGGTATATGGCGCAAAAGAAAAGGAAAAAAAAAGAGAGATTTCAAGCGAGTGTCGGAAAATAAATATCCAAGGGTATCAGAGGGTATTAACGAATTCGAATAAAGGCTGGATTTAGTCGACTGAGACTGTAGAAAGCTATCAAACGCATGTTAGCTGAAGAACCAAGGTGATACAAACGGAACATACAGTGTCGGATATGATCAAGAACATAATGATCACAGTTGTTCCGGTTTGCCAGTCTCATAAGAAACAAAGAGAGAATGGAGAAAAAAAAAGGACAAAGGTTGAGTGGGGAGAAAAAAAAACAAAGGGGAGAGAAGTTGGAGATTAGGGAGAAACAAGAGAGGAGAGGAAAAGAGGAGAGGAGAGCGAAAGAGAGAGAAAGCTATTATCCCCACAGCGGGAGTTCTTCACGCCACAGCCGACTTTTGTAGGCAAAGGGAACAAGTGGAATCGGATATTCAAACATAGAATGATTTGTTATGTATATTGTTTATATGTTGTACCTTCTACCTTCTACCTATGTTCTACTTTCTACTTCACCTTCCACACACCGAAACGAAGGAAAGTGGAATGTTTCTGAAACACAGATGCTATTATCCGCACTAACTCAAAGTGACACGACACAGTTTCAACAGTTTCAACTTCGATTAGCCCATGAGTCTAGCAGCCCATCAGCTCATCAGTTGCCCCATTAGCCCACGTCTGTTTTGTTTTGTGCCAACACAACCCCTCAGCCGTGGCTGTCCCTCATTCCTGGATTGGCGGGAGAAAGAAAAAGAGTCCGCCCTATTCTGTTTTGGGAAATGCATCTCCGACACTTCATTTGCAGAAATGATCGTCTAACTGGACGTTTCAAAATACCTTATCTGCGTCTCCCAAATGGTTTTGGGGGAGGGAAAAGTATTTGAGTTGTTTAAGTTAGGTCTATCCCCCTGGTCATCCCTTACATAGGCCGTGCACCCGGGACTAAATTTAACCTTGGAGAATATCCCGTTCTATGCCGCTTCTAAGAGATCGACATGGTTCTGGAACAAGCAAATGGGGCTTCTCGATCTGCACCGAAAATTCCCGAGGTCTATAGCAAATCTCCAGCGTCGGGGTATCGTAAGTCGGCGTGTTCTTCCAGGAAATCCATCCAGTGTTTCAAGAAGCTACTCCCACTATAAAAACAAAAAAAGGAAATTGATCAGCATTAAACTCTCAAACTCAATGGCTCAATGGCTCAATGGCTCATCCCGCACTTACTGACTGATCGTCTCCGAATCTCCGCAAATACACAAATGCCGCTTAGGCCGCGTCATGGCAACTACATGCAGCATAGTTAGCAATATATCAAATGCCCTGCAGGTACTCCGTACAGAGGACAACACCCGCAAGAAGAAAAAAGGGGGAAAGCATGCCATTTAATCGTCGCTTCTCGCCAAGGAACCCCACTTCGTGTTCCCCATTGCTGCGCACTAAGCTCACCACAACGGCCTCTTTCTCGCGGCCCTGGAATCCATCCACACTGCCAAGTTCAAGGCCGGGGTATTTCTCCCGTAACATCCGCGACAGTAGCGCCAATTGCCCATTGTAAGGGGTGATCACGGCAATGCTCTCGGGTCTGACACCCGCGTCAATCAGATTGTCCACGTGCCTAGCAACGACCATGGCTTCCATCTCGTTGCTTTTGCTGTCGCTAAGCAAGGCGCCCTTCTTGCTGATCTCATCCTCTGCCTTTTCGGGGAAATCCCCGCCTTGCGTGTCCCAGAATACCAGGGGTTCCTGCGTGTCGTCTGTGCCTTCTACCTCGTATGGTAGGTCGATCAGTAGACGGGCTTTGACCGCGTCGCTGGCGATCAGCTTGCCCTCATATAATTCGTCAGAGGGGAATCGCATGATCTTCTCATGCATGCGATATTGGGTGGTTAACATGCGTTTGATCCCCGGTCCGTGCAGGGCCAATAAACGATCGAATAATGTGCGTTCAAGAGAGACACCTTTTAATGTCTCAGTGTCACTGTCTGTCCTTTCATCGGTGCCTTTGGAAGCTTCATCCTTAGACTTATGTCCAGTAGATTTGACGGTAGGTGGTAATTGCAGATGGTCACCGGCAAGGACCACTTTCTCTGCACCTAGAAGTGAAATCCAACATTGTGCTTCGAGGGCTTGACTCGCCTCGTCAATAATCACAACATCGAACTTCTGGTTCTTAAGTTGGTGGCCTCCAGCCCCGTGAAGAGTAGCTAATACCACGCTACTCTCGCGCACTAGGTTATCCACGCATTTAGACTCGCGCTGCCGGAACTCCTTCCGGAGCAGCTTCAACTCGTCATAAATACCCCGACGTTCGCGACCAGACCTAGTCTTGCGAATACTGGCCTGTTTTTCATCAATCTCCTTGCGAATATCCTTCACAATACCCCCAGCATCGGAGGTCTGTGTAAGAACTTCAAGGGAATGCTCAAGGACAGAAGGAAGCAAACGAGCCGGATGCCCGATGCGCACAACGGGAACCTTCTTGGGGGCCAGTCGTTCCACAATATTATCAACAGAAACGTTTGATGGTCCACAGACAAGAACCCGCTTGTTCCGCTGAACAAATTGCAAAATCAATTCAATGAGCGTATGCGTCTTTCCCGTCCCAGGCGGACCATGAATCAAAGCAATATCGCGCGAAGCCAATGCAAACCGAATAGCATCCTTCTGTGAATCATTTAGCGTGGGGTCAGTAAACTCCACAGGCCCACAAGCCTCAGCATCCGGCTGCAGCGGCGTCGTATACCCAAACGCAACGCGCATGAAATGCGAGTACTCAGTCGGAATGATCTTGACCATCTTCTCCATAGTTTGTCTCATCCTAGTCCGAAGTCAGTAGCTCATCCAGTAATCCTAAATCAAAATCGAACTCCAAATCCAAAACTCCGACCAACATACCTCCTGTACGTAACATCATTAGCAAGCTTAATAGCCCACACCTTCTTCCCCCAAAGCTCCTCAACAGCCTCATCATCCTCCTTCGACATCCCCCCACCACCCTGCCGCCCAAACGCAATCCACACAGCGCGATCACCGGTACGCGTAACAACGCCCTCAACCCCCTTCTCCGCATCTTTGTCTTTCTCCTTATCTTTGTCTTTCCCGCCGATCTTCTTCCCCGCCCCCGCCACATCACTAACTCTCACAACATCCCCGACGCGAATCCCATGTGACCCAAGACGAGGCGTTCCATCTGCAGCTCGGGACTCTTCTGACGCGACTGCTGGGTCCGGGGCGAACTCGCCGACGACGCGGCCGCCGAGACCAGTTCGGCATTGTGAGAGGATGAGGCCTGTGAGGGCGTAGCCGGTCGCTTGAAGGGTTCGACGGGTTGCGGGGGAGACCGATGCAGCTGTGCTGGCAAGTTTTGAGGAGGAGACTTCGGCGGCGTGTTCTTCGTGGAGGAGGGTGAGTTGGGTTGAGGCGAAGAGGGGGATTGGGATTGGGGTTGGAGGGGGCATTTTGAGCGGCGCGTGATGTGTGGAGCTTAGAGTTGAGATATTTGGAGAGTAAATGGGTGGTCTGATAAATGGATTGGAGGTTCTCCGTTTGGTTGATGCCGATGGACTTCCACGGGTTGGTGGTTGGAGCTTGGTTCGGGGAGGGACCGGGGATAAAGAAGCTTCAAGTCGCTTATCGCCGATGTCAGTATTTGATTGGCTGTAGATTTGCAGGCTTCAATGCTATCCTCAGGTGTACTAGCATCCGATATATTCAAATATTATCGTCCTGATTTACTGGCAAAATGAATAGGCTTGGATGCGCTTCCAATGCTCTGTCGGATTTGGTATGCTACTTGGATATATAACAGATATCTATAACCGCTGCGAATAAATTTTTAACCTAGTAGATATCTCCTGCTGCGACCTTCTAGAACTAGTCTCCTATCACTTCGCATCTAAAATGCCTCCAGGTGGATTGAAGCCCACCCTTTAACGTGAGTTAAATGCAAAAGTCAATATCAAACAAGGGTGAAAGACAGCCATCTGCAACAGACTATAGTAAGTCCTTTACCCTCAATCAATCAGTCTCTAAAAGATCTTACAGTGAAATGTCCCTAAGTCAAAAGGAAACGCTCAATAATGCTTCGCAACAGATCTTCCGACATATACCCGGTCGTTAGAGCGTCCGTATAGAGAATCACATTCAAGCAAGCCGCTACTGGCGAGCGAGAAGGGGGTCAGTCCTAGCACTCGAAAAATCGAATTTGTCTTGGCTTATTATCGCCTGTGACAGGCGATGGTGAGCCGCCGAAAATTGTGCCTGAGGGCCAATGGCGGCAACGATAATTCAGGAATAGAGCACCTCCAGCCAGTGATTACCCAAGTAGACAAAACCCTCCAAACAAAGAAATCATAGAAGGTCGCATCAAAGAGAGATTAGCGGTGTTTGGCCCGTGCGCCTTGGAGATAATTATGATCCAAGCCACACCTTTCCAGAGGCCGGAGTTTATGTGACGAAGAATAATTATATCGGACCATTATAGGAAAACCATATTAAGCAGGTGCGCCGGAGCCACGTTCTCTCATCCAGGGAAGGATGGACTGTATAAATTCGACCAGTAATCCATAGGCAGACAAATTGGAATCAAAGAGCCTCAATCTTGACCTTGGGCTCATCAATCTCAGGACTTTTCTTAACCTTCGGCATTGTCGGCTCAAGGCCCCGAATCTCACTCTTGCAAAGCCTTAAGCCAGCCAGATCGCAATCTCCGCAGCGACGCTTGACGGGCAAACAAACTGTCTGCCCGAGCCCAACAAGCAACTTATTAATCTCATGCCACTTTTCAATTGGCAACCACGACTGCAGCGCTTTCCTCGTCTCCTCCGGTGTCTTGGTTTTATTCCAACCCCAGAGGTTGGTAATGCGATGAACATGCACATCAACACCGATCCCCAGGTGTTTCCCCCATGCTGCGCTCATACAGAGGTAAGCCATTTTCGGTCCGACACCCGGAAGCGCCATGAGGCCATCCGGGGTTGAGGGGATATCTCCGCCGTGCTGGTCTCGCAATATCAGCGCGGCCGCTTTGATGTATTTTGTTTTGTTGTTGTGGAAGCCGACTGTGCGGATTAATTCGTTTAGTCGCGTTGGATCCACCGCTAAAATGTTGGCTAGGTTGAGGGTACTGTCGACAGGTTTTGAATCTTGGTCTTCTTGTTTGATTTTGATATCTTCAGCCGGCGCAGTGCCATCTCCGAGTTCTGTGTGAAGGCGTTGCATCGCTACCGCGGTGACTGTATCTTTCGTCTGGGATGAGAGCATCAATGCGATGAGGGTCTGGAATCGACGGTCTTTTGGTGACGAGGCACGCCAGTATAGCTCCGAGCAGCCCATTGTATCTACCGGTGCAGTCGGGTTGGCTGCCCTCATCCTTTTCACGATGTCATACATTGTTTCCCAGTTGGACGGGGGCTCGACCTTAACAGAGCCGTCGATGTCGCGGGTTGTTCGGGCCGGGAGTCGTCTTTGTTTAGGTGCCGCTGGCGGCTTTTGGTCGGGCTCATCCTTCACAATGACTTTGCGGGGTATGCGAGGACTTGCGCTTTGCTTGAGGGATCGCGGATTTAGGGGGGCTCGCGTTACGTTTTCGGCGCTTCGATGGCGGTTCAAGGAGGTCTTCGATATCGGCCGTGTCGGCCTCGGAAAGGGAAGATTCATCGTCGCTTTTGACGGGACACAGACTGGGCGCTACGGAGACATCTTCTGTCTTCGGCTCTGCCTTGACGGTCGGAGTTGCATTTTCGTCGTAGGTGAAACTTTTCAGAGCGTTCACATTGGAGTTACGCGTCTGTCGTCGGATAGGGGGTGTGAGTGCCTCCAGCACCTTGGCAGTGTCCCTGGAAGTGCGAGAAGTGCGCATGATCAATTAACAGAGACTAAACAAACAGACAAAACTGAAAATGACCTCGGGACCAGGAGAGCAGGAGAGCCAATCCAAAAGCAATTTCACGTGAGAGGATGATCGATCCATGGGTGGTGGGTCGGGCAGAATTTCCCCAACCTCGGCGATCGCAGTGCCGACCGACTTTCCCAACTCCGTGAGGGGGGTGCACTTCAACTACAGCATACACATCTAATCTATAGAATCTACTACATTCTACATGGCCTCTTCTGTTTCTGCGATGTCCCGACTCAGGGCAGAGTTGAAGGCTTCTATTAAGGAACCGGAAAATGAAACCTACCTGTACCTCCGGCCGGTCGATGGAGATGACATTCTGCTCTGGGAAGCCGTATTGAAGGGGCCAGATGATACACCATACGAGGGTATGCTCACGAACCCCAACTTGCCTGCTGTGGTTATTCCAGTCAATCTAATGCGGCAACAGGTGGACTTTGGCACCTTAACATTGCAATCCCGCCAGAATACCCCCTCAAGCCGCCGACCATCCACTTCACCACTAAGATAATCCACCCAAACATCGACTTCGAGAATGGCAAACTCTGTTTTTCACTCTTGGATGAGGAATGGTCTGCGGTTATGACTCTCCAGACCACACTCAAGTCTATTCAGTGGCTTTTGAGGTATCCGAATCCGGATTCGCCGCTGAATGTTGAAATATCGGTTCTACTGCGTAAAGGGGATATGGCTGGTTATGAGAGTGTTGTCCGGTACTTGACCGAGGAGATGCGCTTGGAAGATGCTCAGAACCTTGTGCGGTGATGATGGTTTCTCGGAGCCAGCTGAGACATTCGGACCACGCATACCATACCACTGTGCACATTCCGATCATCTAAGATACCTTGTACATACTATATATACGAATCCACGAATCTCTACGGCCAATAAGCCAAGAAGTCTAATAATGGAGCACAATTTTTGCATTATCTTCAAAGTGAAGAGTAAACATGGACTAAAAGTTAATCACATGAAAATATTAGCGTGTGCTTCGCGCCATAAATGTTCAAAACCGCTGTGTAAAACGCGATTAAAAGGCCTAATGAGGCAGTAATGAATGCCGGATTGAACGCCCAAGAGAGATAAGGAGAGACATGAGTAGGGTCGTCACGGGTCATGCGGAAAAGATAGTACAATGACGAATGTCATGAAGATGCAGAGCCAATGCGATGTGCTGAAGAACGCCGATCAAAAAGATAAAAATGCAAGCAGGCGATGAGGCAAAACTGATCATCCATTACAGAGCCATTGCGACCACGACGGCGCCACCGACGATGGCGACAACCTCACGGGCCATACCGGTAGCCATGGCCGCGACGTTGGTCTGCAGACCGGGCTTGCCAGCGGTGGTTGCGGATGCGGCTCCGCCGGTTGCTGAGGGGGTGATCACCGTGATAGAGGTGATGGTGCTCAGACTGCCGTCGGGCATGGTGGTCGTGCTCTCGAAGGTGGAAGTGCTCAAGCTGGTGGCGCGGGTAGAGGTAGTTGATTGCTCACTGGTGGTTGAGGCAGACGAGGTGGACGAAGTGCTCCGGGTAGTCGAGAGGGTCGAAGGAACACTAGTGGTCGTTTGAGTAGTCTGAGTGGTCTCAGCAGTCGAAGATTCGGTAGTGGTAGTGGTCGGCTGAGCAGTAGTCTGGGTCGAGACCGTGCTAGAGGTCTCGGTTGGGACAGATGCAGAGGTGGCAGAGCTGGTCTCGCTGGTAGTCTCACTGGTCGTTTCACTGGTCGTCTCGCTGGTGCTGGTCTCACTAGCCGATGTGGCAGAGGTGACGGTTGGCTGAGTGGTGGTAGTCGGCTCAGCGCTAGAGGCCGAGGTAGTCTCACTGGTCTGACTGGTCTCGGCAGCTGAGGTGGTGGCGGGCTCAGAGGTTGATTCGGTACTGGCAGTAGTCACAGTAGGAACCGTTGCTGGGGTGCTGGCAGTGGCATTATCCTGACGCTTGGCGAGCTTGATAAGGCTGGCAATAGTGGGTTCTTCAGCTTGCAGAGCCTCGGCGGCTTGAAGGTCAGTCGGGAAGATTCCATGACGGAATTTGGCGGAGAGAGCATGCAAAGCATCATGGAGCTTGACTGCCTTGATGTCGGCGAGCGCATCTTGGAAAGACTCACTTGACGAAGTCCCCTGCACTGCGTCTGCTGCGAAGACCGCAGACAGAGCGAACAGTGTCACAAAGAGCAATTGAAGAAAGCTGATACGCAACATTATGATAGGTTGGCGATCGGCGGAGCTTGCTGATAAGGTGAGGAGTTGGGTAAAGACGATGAAGAGAGGGGAGGAAGAACAACAAAGCAGGTGAGATTATTAAAGAAAAGGTGAAAGATAACTGGAAGGCACCACACAAGTCCCAGAGTGGCAATTCTAATCTTTTTTTATTTCTCTTCGTATTTTTTTTTGGATGCGTTTTTCTTGATTTTTCCACACTAGTACAAAGATACCAACATAATGCCGAGAATCATCGGCGTGGCTGATTTTTTACGGCCACTTAAATGTCTCGGATCGGCCTAAAACAAGGCTTGATATATCCATCCATGAACTATTTTAGACCTTATGTACATAGTAATCATCTATTTAGGTAAGTCTATGGAGTAAACGAACTGGGCCACAAAATCAAAAAAAGTAAGAAAAGTTCATTCTCATCTCTTATTGGCCCGGTCTCAGGGCTAACAATAGTAACCTTGGAAATGGTCAGAGTCGTGTTGTCATGCATTATTGCTTTTTAACTCCATTTGGTAAAAAGGAGAAAGGGGCTGTACTTCCCCTGGAACTTCCATGGTTCTATATCATTAATTGTTACTGTATAAATATCCCAAATTCATAACTTCACCGGTTCACTGAAGCAATAAACCTCAGGTGTATGAATAACAATACTGGTATCTAGTCGGATCCATAACTTCGCCGACCGGTCGAGGCCGATCCAGAACACCAAATTCCATCTCCATATCGACCGTGACAAGCGGCGCATTTGGCGGATTAGAGAGCCTATTCGTACCATTAAGTGCGAACCGACGACGGTCCTCATCATTGGCCTGCCACATACTCCATAGCCGATCGATCATACTATGGTGTAGCATGAAAGCCGGGTCTTGCGGCGACGTGAACAGGTCTTGGAGGGTGGCTCCGAGGCTGAAATGCCCGCCGCCATGCACGCCTAACACTCCGCCGGGCCGTGCGGGCCAATAGTCCATGACGGTCTGAAAATCGGAGATATTAGCCGCGGACAGGAGTCGGTCGACAATGGTCTCATTATCGTAGTTGCTGCTGACGAAATTATTCAGACTTCGGTTGAAACAGCGCGGGTTGTAGTCGAAGCCTGGGGCGGGGAGTTTGTCAAATGAGACAATGTTGCGGTCGAATGGTCCCATGTGGATTTCCATGTCTTTGAAGGGTCCGCAGCGCACACAGCCGCCGCCCGATCCTCGTGGTATGGTCACTGTGCCGCCGGAGAGGCTTTGTTCGCCTGGGTTGTAATTTCCATCACCGGAAAGGGAGCTGTCGCTGCAGTCGAAGAGAGGGCTGGCTTTTAGGTTTTCTGACCATAATGGCCAGTTCCAGTACCTGCACAAGTGGTTCGTGTTATTATGGTTCGGGGTAATAAATGAATGGCACTTACGGGAGATGGCCAGAGTAACCACACTCGTCTCGCAGGGCTGTCTCCCAGAGCCAGAGGAAGTGACGGTGCCACGGAAGGAACAGACCACTAAGGTGGACATTGAGTGTGTAGTTGATATGGGTTCTACATCCTATGTTAGCACCCAGTCCTTAATATATAAAATGAGGGTATAGGGAACCTACGCCACAAAATCGTCAAACCGGTTCTGCACTCCTGGGTACTCTTTTCTTGAAAGTTGCTGAGGCTTCCCCTGCATGCACAACACCGCATCAATATAGTCGATCCGCTCAGCCTTCTTCAACTCTCCCCTATGTAATGTCAGTTCTCAATTGGCCCTAGGAAACTTAAGGAAAAAAAATACAGACCATTCCTTCCGGACAGTAGTATTACGAGTTCCACACAATTGCTCGGGCAGGGCAATGTCGACGTTGATATCGAATAAGGAGGAATCGGCTGTCGAACCCAAAACCCCCAAGGCAATGACCAAGAAAGACCGATAAAACCCAACCATCCTATCAATTCCAATGAACAAAATCCCGATTAGCAGGAGTTAATAAAATTCCCGCAGAATCTCCCTCCCTTCCTGGTCCATGAACACTGTTTATAGGTAACCACCGACCCCCCACTAACAAGCGAATAAATCTTGATGGCATCCCTTGTATGATCTGTAAGTAGACGGAGCATTTTAGATTAGCCTATTTTGGTGAACTCCGAAAAAAAAAAACTTGGCTATGCAGGTTCCAAGCCTGTCGGTGTGTGAGCTGTCACTTTACGGGGGTCCAAGTGCCTCCATTATACTCCATTAGTGGCGGTGCGTGTTTTCCCCTGCATGACATGGGGCGATAAATGTTCTAGACATAGACCGTTCCCAAAGCTTAGCGATGCAGAGCTCCAACCAAATGAATCTACTTGTTTACGAGGGAGTTTATCGGCGAGATATATGTTGCACCCAGGTAATCTACTATGTCGTACCCAGACGAACTCTGTCTAGATTTGGAGTGCATTGTCCGTCCTTGGCCCCGTCTTTGAGCAGTGGGGGAGAGGGGTGTTCTAGTTGATCTTGAAATTATAGCTGCATTTGTTATGGAACCGTCTGCAGGGCCACGGCCAATGGTTCCGGGCCCTCGAGGGAAGACTTTGATTATGTTCGTAAGCGACCGACGACGTACATCGTACCTACACAAGCAGGCACTCAGATAAAGTAGTAGCATGACATTATTATCTCTTTAGGTAATCAGCTATTTTCACTCTTGTCAAGTCAATGTGAGTGATCAATTAACCTGGACCGAGGTACGTTGTAGTGGGAACTACGCCGTACCGCGTTAGACCAGTTCTCTCCACAATTATAAGTCCACATAGAGTGTGTGAAACATGCATTGCTCTATATGTCGTAGAAAGTCAAGAAGTACGTGAACTTTTTACACAGGATTGAACCCATTTTTTGTATTAGACAATGACAACGCTCGTATACATGCTCAATATGTACCACCAAGTGCAAATCCATCCATACCCCAAGGCAGATATGGTTAGTTATAAGTGCATAGCTCCTATCCAAACTAGTTGGGTATAAGCGTAGCTTCAGCAATCAATGTAAGCATGTGACAGCACTCAAAAGGGTGTGTCCACAGTCCACAACAAACCCTGCCACTATCCCAGCAAGCAAGCATCACCAAACCCCGAAAGGGGAGCCAACTCCATTTTCTCTCGTAAAATCTGAACTATCCCCCCTATCTCACCACTCTGCCCCTCTATGTCCCGAATGGTCACTAGGTCGTACGCATGCGGTAAGAGCATCAGCGTGAAAAAGTACCCTTGTGGCCCGTGGCCAAGCAACGGTCTAGGCAAGATATAAACAGCACTTTTACGTGTCGGCCCATATCGAGAAATATCCTTCGGAGCACCGGATACCCTCGAGATTTGCACGAGTCTACCCTGTCTATGTGGTGCGAATGCCATACTAGCCCTCATGGATGATTGTGCTAGGGAGAAGTGCTCCCAGACCTGCACTGGCGAGAAGATAACGCTTGATCTCTGGTGAGGTAGATGGCTAATTAGCATTGAGAAGCGGCCTACCTCTTCTGCTTGTGCTCTGCGCTGTGCGTCTAGTTGCGATCCGGATGGGCCCACTCTTTGATACTGGAGCTCGATGGTGGGTTTGAGGAATTTGAAAAATGCTGCAGCTTTGGAGAAGAGAACTCGGGCTGTGTTCTGGGTAGTTGGATATCTTTGTGGGTGATTCGGATATCGATGGCGCTATGGGGAACTCGTGGGGTGTATTTTTGATGTTTATTTCGAAAACCGACCCTGGAACTGCATGCCAACCTTGGAAGGTTGATCTCTCGTGTCCACTTGCAGTGTAGATTTCTAAATTTCTCAACCTGGTCCCTCATACGTTCACGGCTTCATAGATCCTTCCTCTCTGGTTATCTTCCACTCTGTTTTCCCTTTTTTTAGTGCATTATCCTCCTGTGCCTTTGAGCTAGTTCAGGAGGCCTTCACGAGCTACAGATACCCGAGCTTTAAGCTTTTTTCACATGGTATATAGCAGAACGATCATTGGTGGCGATACCGCGTGCGGGGGAAATATTGTGGGGAACTAACCGAGGCAGATATATCAAGGGTGTGAAGAATGCAGATTTAATCGACCCCAGATCCTGTTCTCAGACAAAACTTCTACATGCACAAACCACCATGGATGTCCCAAAAAGCCTTCTGGATCAGGTTCTACCTCAAGCCACAGCCTCCTGGGCTCACATCGTGACCAAATACTCGCCTCAGAGAATCGAGTTTGTGGGTACACTTCTCGCCCAGGTGCTTACCTTCTGGCTACCATCAATATGCTACATGCTCCTTGAGGTGGTAGCGCCTTCATTCTCCCAGCGCCACAAAATTCAACCGGCACCCAGACAACCAAGCCGTCGTGACATCGCACGCTGCTTTACGGTCGTGGTACAAAACCAGATCATATCGTCGATACTTCATCTGACATTGCTGTCCGCAGCCAGCTACGCTGGCCTTAAATCAACATATCGAATCGAAACCTCTCTGCCAGGTCCAGTCGAGATCATCCGGGATGTCTTTCTCAGTCTGTTGATGCGGGAAGCTTTATTCTACTACAGTCACCGAATCTTACATATACCCACTCTCTACATCCGCATCCATAAGAAACATCACCGATTCACTGCTCCGATCGCTCTGGCTGCGCAGTTCGCCCATCCGATTGAACACATCTTCGCTAATACATTGCCTATCTCCCTGCCGCCGCAGTTGTTGGGAAGCCATGTTGTGACCTTCTGGGTATTCTTGGCTTATGAGCTTGTCAATACGGCGACGGTTCACAGTGGATATGATTTCTTTTGTCACAAGGCTAGAGCGCATGATCTTCATCATGAGAAGTTCAATTTGAATTATGGATCGTTGGGGTTGTTGGATTGGGTGCATGGAACGGATCAATTGAAGAAGCGTCGTACTGGGTAAACCTCGGTTATTGTTTTGGGTCCAATTGTGTACATAAATCTGGAGACCGTATCGACAGTTGCGGCCAATGGTACATCGTGGGGTTGTCTCATATATAACTTTCTTGTGATGTTCC